TAATGCCCTTACAAGGGGGGAGGGGGGATGCCAGGATCAAACTTACGCCTATATAACTTTCAACCGATCTCTTAATCACTAGGCTAAAATTCAATAGCATTTTATTATATTTAAAAACTTTGATTATGAAATTTACAATTTGCAATCAAACAAGTGATGCATAAATTTACTTATTTATTTAGGATTGTTTGGAGGAAGAACAAATGCATAGATAGCAAAGAAGGCCTGAATCATGCTGAATATTAGGAGTACGAGGGCAGCTAAGGCTGATATGAATGACCATGGGGTGTCAAAGTAACTGTGCTTGAATCCTGCCCATCGAGCATGCGAATCGTTCCTGTAATACTCTCTATATCAAATGCAACATCTTTGGGTACATTGTTAAAGAAGCAAGCAATTTCCTCGTCTGTTCCGAATTAGTTTTCAATTATTTTGTGATCACAGAGAAATCCGGCATCACTAGGTGTGTTGATTAAACATCCCATGAAGGTTGCATATGTTGTTATTGTTGGGGAACACCACAGCTCTGATACCATTTATTGGGCTAAAAACCTCCAATCCAATCACACCAGCGGAAGCGAAATCAAACAATAAATCAAAAAATCAAACAAATCGGAGACAACAATTTAACGTGATTCGGTCCAACTGACCTACATCCACGGATGAGAAAAAAATCCACTAGTTGTAGAGAATTACAAACATACATCAAATCATCAACCTCACTCAACAATCAATACTCATAAGACACTCTCAATCTCATCTAGTCCTATAGAGTATTCTCAACCCAAACAAACACAAACCCAAACCGTTGTGCACTCTTTCAACATAACCAAACACATACCCATATGCTCTCATACATCATACCTATGTGGACTCTCTCAATCTCCTCTAGTCCACTCATAAACAAATATACACACCTATAAGACGTAGCAATCAATACTCATAAGACACTCTCAATCTCATCTAGTCCTATAGAGTATTCTCAACCCAAACAAACACAAACCCAAACCCTTGTGCACTCTTTCAACATAACCAAACACATACTCATATGCTCCCATACATCATACTTATGTGGACCCTCTCAGTCTTCTCTAGTCCACTCATAAACAAACATATACACCTATAAGACGTAGAGTCTCAATACTCCTATAGGGTATCTATCCCACAAAACCCTACAACTCTCTTACATCTTTTTTTCTCATACCTAACCTTGTAGAGACTTCACCTATTTATAACCATACAAACTTGCCCATTAAGAATCCTCTCCTTTTAGAATTCTTCTCTTGTAAGTCAAACTTACCTATTAAGAATCCTCTTTCTCTTGAAATTCTTCTTTTGCAAGTCTTCTTGTCCATCAAGCAATATCTGACAAATCTCAAACAAATCTCTTATTGGATTTGAGTCAATATTCCTAACAATCTCCACCTTGACTCAAATTCCATTAATCATCTATCTTCATGCTAGACATGCTTGACTTCACCTGCAATGAAAGTCTCACAATCATCTTCTCTTGTGTCTTCACGTTTCATACAAACCAATCATCAATCTTAAACTCGAACTCTTCTCTTAAATCGAGCTCCTCTGGACTTGCTTCTTCTCATGTCTCAAACCATGCACTTCTTACATCTGAAACCTTTAGCTTTTCCACATCTCGAACTTTCAGCTCTTTCACATCTCTTTCACATCTTGAACTTTCAGCTTTGATACCACTTGTTGGGGAACACCACAGCTCTGATACCATTTGTTGGGCTAAAAACCTTCAATCCAATCACACCAACGGAAGCAAAATCAAATAATAAATTAAACACATAAGAGACAATAATTTAACGTGGTTCGGTCCAACTGACCTACATCCACAGATGAGAAACAAGATCCACTAGTTGTAGAGAATTACAAACTTACATCAAATCATCAACTTCACTCAACAATCAATACTCATAAGACACTCTCAATCTCCTCTAGTCCTATAGAGTATTCTCAACCCAAACAAACACAAACCCAAACCCTTGTGCACTCTTTCAACATAACCAAACACATACCCATATGCTCCCATACATCATACCTATGTGGACCCTCTCAATCTCCTCTAGTCCACTCACAAACAAACATACACACCCATAAGACGTAGAGTCCCAATACTCCTATAAGGTGTCTATCCCATAAAATCCTACAACTCTCTTACATCTTTTTTTCTCATACCTAACCATGTAGAGACTTCACCTATTTATAACCATACAAACTTGCCCATTAAGAATCCTCTCCTCTTATAATTCTTCTCCTGTAAGTCAAACATGCCTATTAAGAATCCCTTTCCTTTTAGAATTCTTCTCTTGCAAGTGAAATTTACCTATTAAGAATCCTCTTTTTCTTGAAATTCTTCTTTTGCAAGTCTTCTTGTCCATCAAGCAATATCTGACAAATCTCAAAAAAATCTCTTATGAGATTTGAGTCAATATTCCCAACATTTATGTGGTCTGAGCAGTGGCTGTAATATTGCTCAAAAGCAACACAATTGAGGAAGACCGATGTTGTAAAATCGTCTACTGCCAAAAGTGGGATTTGAAGCACCCCATTGCTAAATTTAACGTCTAGGAAGCTGTCGCTCTTCCTTGGCTTGAATTGAATTCCTGCTAGATGAAGCTTTTTGGCAGATGGGATCAATTGAAGGAATGTTGATGTTTCTTCAGGCGAACTGCTCTTTCTTGATGTTTCTTCAGTGGGACTAGTACTGTTTCTTGATGTTTCATGGGCCGAACTACTCTTTCTCAATGTTGCTTCAAAGGAACTACTATCTGATGATGTTTCTTCAGAGGTAGGTGGGAGAAAACTCATACGAAACAGATCAAGTAAATGTCTTCCAGTAAGATTGTTATGCTTCTCTAGGACTTCAACAGGCCTTTGTACCATGTAATTGAAAAATTTTAGGCTAAGGCGAGCTAAGGAGGGAATGTTTTCCTGGCCTGAACCCAATATTGATAGTTCAAACAAAGTTTGAAGTACAAAGAATGGGATTTGGTTTTCTAGCCTAAGAAGATCGCGCATAAGAAACGTCAAAATCCATTGTATATTGAAGATGAGGTCATCAAGATTAGTAGCTGCTAACCTGCTAACAATGCAAAGGATCTTGATAATGAAACATCCATCAAGTACCATCATCTCAATGAGACCATGGCTGTCAATTCCAACAGTCTCTGAGTAGCACCCCCTTATTCTCTCCTCCATTTCTTCTATGGTTCGGAAGAGGTTAATGAGACCAATGTTGTGTCCCCGTGTTCGATGAAGGAGGGAACCAAGAAATCTCCATTTGTGCTCTTGCATTATCCGGAGATGGTCTTTTCCATGGTGGTATGGCCCAATCGAAAGGATATCGAACAAGGCTTTCAGGGACTCTAAAGATGCAGCAAGACTCGTTACCTGCATATTTATTCAACAATTTAGGCGGTTGCTTGATTTTTGCTTCCATGATTCTGATAACTTGATGAGAGGTTTCATCCATGTCTGCAGACTCCATGACCCTGATAAGTTGATGAGAATTTTCTCCATTTCTTTGATTTCTATGGCTGGGGCCAACCATTTCTACGCCAATAAGATTTTTTTTTCTATTTTTTTGTGTGTGTGTGGTGAACCGGGCAGGTTATAACTTAGGCCAAAGCTGCAGTCTAATAATAAGGACAATTGGCCTGCAGGGATCAGTTACAGGGAAGAACTAAATGGAACTGAAACTTGGAAGGAGATGCTGCATTTTAAAAGTTGCTCTTATTCACATTAAATCATTAGAAAGCAAGCTCTTTGATAGATGAAATAATTAAGAAAGGAGATCTTTCGCAGGAACTACTTGACATTTTCCCCCTTTCTTTTTTTTAATTTTTATCTCGTGTCATTAAGCTAAAGACATTTGGTGACTCATTGTTACATGGTGCCAAATATTCTCATTGAGGATTCCGAAAAGAAAAGTTGTCATTTGCTTAAGTAGTCTAATATATGAACTGTGGGAAACTATCAAGAAAATGTTGAATTGTCCGAGTTGCACCTGTTGTCGCACCCATAGCAAAACACAACTAAAACTACTGATAGGCAAAGTAATGACAGTCAAGTTGCTTCACCCCCATTCCAATTCCAATTATATCTTTTGTCTCACGGATAAGTGCTATGTTAGAGTTCATATATATAGATGGAAATTTTAATTTCTACCATTCAAAAGAAACGAAAAATATATAGTACAAAGTGATAAAGAGAAAACAAATTCGACCACATTGAAAAAAACAAGACAAGAATTAAGTCTGTAAATAATAATATAGTCTATCAATAAAGTATTAGATATTTAATTTAAATAATCATATTTAATATACGATAATCTCAAATATAAAAAAATAATAAAAATCTAAGTCAAAATTTAACGCATAAATATCATGTTTTCTAGCATTTGCGTAATAAATGATTTTAGTGGCTTGGCAGCTATTGCATAAGAGGGTTTTTTTTTTAGTTTTAATTGCTCGCATGTGCACTTTAAAATTATTATATTAAAAAAACTCGTTTAATGTATTGTGAATTAATATATTAATTATCAACTATTACATTTAATAGAAAAATGTTATTATAAATAGAATATTAATTAACTTAAAATGAATTAAAAGCATTCATACACAATTATTTTTTTCATTCATAAAATCTTATTTCTATATTCTAAGATCCAAACTTGATGTGCTAGAGCATTTTGACTTAATTGATTATTGCATTATCAAATCCTTAATTTTGAACCGTTAGATCGTCCTTGATATGATTGAAGAAGTCATAGGTAAATTCAAGTGTCACGGACTTAAGGGGAGTCTTGAATCTCACATCGAACATAATTGGAAGGTCACTAGGATATAAAAGGGTTTACACCATCTTCGCCTTGTGAGTCGCCTTTTGTAGGACAAAACCGTGAAGTCAGGGAATCAGAGCGGACAATACCTCACAAAGGTATGAACCGTGACAAGTGGTATCAGAACCAACCCTATATCGTTCGATCCACACTGAGCGTCTCGAGGGAGGTAGACAGGGTGGCCAGCCTCCGTGACGAGGGCATCACGAAGTTAGGTGCGGGAGAATGTCACGGACCTATGCCTGGGTCTCGGAACCGCACGGATTCGGAGCTTAAGTCTCGACCCGTGACACAAGCACATCATGTCTAATCAAAAACGGAAAAATGTACTCAACAACTCCTAATTTTAGGATATGCCTTTTTATATTTGTTGCTTCACTTTAAACTATTAGCTGGAATGACAAAATGTTTCATGTTCTCTCGAATTGAATTTTTAAGAATGTTTAGGTATATGCCATACATATATATATATATATCAAATTATAGCTGTAATTAACCTTATTCAAGTATGGTTTAGGATTTACAATTGTATGTAGTGCAACCATCAAAATCTGTGGGAATATGTAGAGTATGAGAACTTATCCTCACCTATATGTTGGATTAGAAAATGAAACTGGCAGGCCGAAAGAAATATACATTAATTGGTCATTGGTTTACAGATGTTATGGTATCATAATGTGCACTAACACCCTTTATTCCTACCAATAACTTATTGAAGAAAAAAGCAAAAAATGCAACAGATACTCTCTTAATTTTTGTTAATATATAAGAGTGATTGTTGATAAAGTGTTAATCTGTTAGTTTCAATTATCAAAAAGTTAAATTCTTGATAACCCAACTAAAAAAAATTGATACTGGCTAGGAATATTCCTGTCAAATTATCAATACTAACACTGTATGATCAGTTAGTGAGCTCCCCATAAATCAATATTAATGTTAGAAGTTGTATCATCATCCCAATCAACTTCTCCTTGCAATGCTGGTGGACTGAGGAGCATACCCTCTGCCATGCTATGGAGTAACCCTGGCATGTTAAACGATGCCTCCTCATCGATGAACAATGGATCATTAGACTCATTAGCCTTGGTTTCCAACCTCTCACTATGACCCAATATTGAACAATGATCATTCTCATCGGGTTGTATTTCCACCAAACAAAGTTTCTTCTCATTGGGAATTGGGCTTGATGAGCATCCTGGTTGATCAATAATATTTGTTGAGCTTGTTGAATGTGAAGAGATCATATTGTCAAGTGCCAAAGATGATAGAGAACAACAAGCTGTTGTTGTTGTCCTAAAGGCCTCAGCAGCTGCAAGAGCAGCCGTTTGTATATCCCTAGCTGAGGAAGACTTAGCCAGAGGAAGAATGGAAGAAGAGTCAGGAAAATTAAGAGTAGCAGACTTGCCCCTAAGCGCTAAGGCAGCAACATCATAAGCCCTAGCTGCCATTTCAGGACTAGGGTAAGTCCCCAACCAAATCCTTGATTTCTTGTAAGGTTCACGCACTTCACACACCCATTTATTCCCTTTCCTCTGCCTTACACCTCTAAACACCGGATGACGCGTCTCCTTAAACTTCTTCCTACCAGCTTTTCGCTTATGGGAAACAGCAGCAGGCAGTGCCTCATGATCGGGTTCTGAGTCAGGGCTGCATGGCTTGCATGAAGAAGAATCAAGCTCCAAGTGGTCCATTTTAGCTTTGACAAAAAGGGTATTAATAATGATCCAATTAGCCAAAATGATTCTTTCAAGTAACTTGAATTCTATGACCAGAAAAAATGCAAAGATTATAGCAGTGAAGTGAAGAGAGTGATGACAGGAAATTTAGAAAAAGTAGCATATAAATACAGGTACTGGAAATGGGGGAAAAGTAAAAGGGTGGGGAAGTTGAAAGAAAATCAAAGCCGCGAATTGGACATGGAGACAGACACGGGGCGGCATGGCTTTTTTCTCGGACGCGTGAAAAAGAAAAAAAACAGGGATTCAAATTCAATGAAATTCATGAGGAAATGTGAAATGCGATTGTTTTCTATAATTGGAATATTTTGAATGGGTCCAAGTATAGATGATGAGTGAAAGAGGGCTAAGCTTCCTTTTTCCTTTTACTACTATTCTCTGGACAAACAATGATACCATGTTTGGGTGCCTGCATGATCCCTATCCTTCCACTCAAAATTATTATTGACGAAAAGTGGGTCTTTTTTCATGCTTATAATAATTATATCCTCCACGTGTCTATTGTTTTTAGGCATAATTATTTGAGGTGATTTTTTAAAAATGAAATATATATATAAATTAAATTATGCATAATGAGAGTTTTTTCTTGTTTTTTTTTTGTGGTTAAGGTACATATTTCACATTTGTTTTTCACTTTTCTTGAAAATTTCTCTTAATATTCAAATTGCATATATCTCCTCTTCTTCTTCGTTTGTTTCTTATGTAGAAATATATCCAATTGACCTTAATTTTGGTATTACTTTTTTTTTATAAAAAAGTTTTCCTAACATGAAAATAAAAAAATTTATAAATCTTGATATTTGAATCTCTTTCAAACTTGTTAGATATTATCTTTTAAAAATAATTATTTAAATTAATTAAATTAAATTTTGAATTAAGATACTATTACTTGTAAAGTGAACATGTATCAACATGTTAAATCTACTTATGAAATTAAAAAACACTAGTAAAATTATGTAAAATAATTTTTCTATACTTTATCAGTGATAGAAGTGTAAACAAAATTAATGGTTGACAAATCACTTGCTAATCTATTGGAAAAAAAAAATCACTTGCTAATCTAATTTAACAAGAAGTCGGTCCTACGTATCTCTGACGTTTTTAATACTTCTTGGCTTAAATGTATATTCTACTAAGTTGCACTCAAAAGAGTGCCAAAGATTCTCGAATAAAATAATATCATATATGATTATCGTACAGAACATTAGATTTCTTTTTTTAAATGAAACAACAAGAGATGTTTGGTTTGAAAAAATATATGTATTTTTTAAAAAATTTTATTATTGAGTATTTGATTTTAGTATTTAACTAAAGGTAATTCAATTTCGAAAAAAAATTATAGATTTTTAATAGTACTTAAAATTTTAAAATAAAAAATTTATCTTTTTTTATAGTGTTTTAAGATTTTTAAAGAGAAAATTAAGTTATTTTTAAATTTAATTTGAATAAACAATTATAAAATAGTTGTTATTATTTTAAAAAATATGTCTGAAAATGATTAAAGTCAATTGTAGATTTCTCTGCTAAATTTTTTTTTATATTGCAATTAATTACGTTTAATATGAAAAATACCTTAAATAATAGTATTCAATTTTTTATGATTATTTAAGGTGTTTTATGATATAAAATACCTTAAATAATTTTGTTCAATTTTTTTATATTATTTAAAATATTTTTGGCCAAACAAAGCTTTAAATAATCCTCTATAAAAAATTAAATAAAATTATTTAAGATATTTTTAACCAAAAATTATTTAAATAATCCTATAAAAAAATTGATCAGTATTATTTAAAACATTTTCTACCCAAAAACGTCTTAAAAAATTCAAAAAAAAATCTTATAAGTAATTCCCAAAAATAAACACTAAAGGGAAATGTTGAATCTATGACTTTATGATTAATAGCTATATGCTCTAACTAACTAAGTTACTCTATTTTTTTTTTATATTTATCTCTTAAATCTTATAAGTAATGAAAGAGATTATTTAAAATATTTTTAGTACAAAATGTCTTCAATAATATGGTCTAAAAAATTAAAGGGTATTATTTAAGGCATTTATGGATAAAAATACCTTAAATAATCTTTTTTAAAAAATTATTTAAAGTATTTTTGGATAAAAACACATTAAATAATACCCTCATATTTTTTTTAAATTACATTTATTTAAGATACTTTTGGATAAAAAAATTTTAAATAATCTTTTTTAAAAAATAAAAGCTATTATTTAGAGCGTTTTTAACCATAAATGCTTTCAATAATCCTCAATATTTTTTTATTAATGATATTTTATAAATAAAAACAACAATCAAATAAAATATTTATCTTCTTTTGTTGTTAAATGCATCATTTGTTGGTATTTATTATTAATAAAAATTAATAAAAAATTATCATCATATATGTCAAGGAGATTATGATAATTATTCAATAATTAATATATATGAATTTTCTTCATTAATATTTTTTATTGATGATATTTTATATATAATATAATAATCAAATAAAATATTTATCTTTTTTTTATTGTTAAAGGTATCATTTGTCATATTTATTATTAATAAAAGTTAATAAAAAATTAATATCATATATGTTAAAAAGATTATGATAATTATTTAAGAATTAATATATATGTATTTTTTCTAATCAAATGAGTAAATTTAAATATAAAATATCTTTAAGATAAAAAAAAATCATGGATATCATACCTTTTCAAAAATTATATTTTTTTAAATAAAAAATTTTGCGAATCAAACATCTCATAAATCTCTTCAAATAAAAATTTATTAATTATATTATAATTATTATAAATGATATGTTATTTTTTTTAAAAAAAAGTATACACTCTAATAAATCTGAAGCCCAGTTTCTCTCGTGCTATGCAAGGTAACAATAGTACAAAAAAATTTAAATGAGTGGAGTCCATTGTTCCACATCGTAGAGTTCATTGGTCAACTTGATTTTGATTTGTGTGGTGGAAATTCATTTAATGGACCAAATTCATTAGTTGTACTGTCTCGTTGAAACTGTTGGCTCAATCTCTATCAAACTCCATTTCTATTTTCTTTTTATAGTGTGAAAAAAAAAAAAAAAAAAACTGAAAAGTTCCGAGGCAGATTGGTTTGGGGGTCGTTAATAAATAATTTATTTTAATAAGTTGATGTTCTTTTTAATTATTGTTTTAGCATAAACACGAATTTTTATTTAAAATTATCAGCAATTAAATCTTAATTATTAAAATTCAGAATTTCATATTTTTGGTAAAAAACTGTAATTCGAAAATTAAAAAAAATTTAAAATTTAAAATTATTAAATATAACGTTTAGAAATGATTAAATTTTAATTTTAATTCAAAAAATTTAATATTGTATCAATAAATTCCAAATTAATTCAAACATAAGCTTTTGTTTTAATTAATCTCTTTTTTACTTTTTCATCTCTAAAGAGAAAAAGAAAATTTGATTATTGAAAAGTGAAGCAAAGTCAACAAAAATGTGATGCTGTCCTAAGGTCCAAGATGAAATGACTAAGACTTTCTAAGTGTATGAAGGATAAATTAACTAAATGCGTAGAAAACATTGTTCATGCTGCGAAGGTAAGCAATCACCGGCATTAATAAAAAACGAGGGTCTTCTTATTCTGTAATAGGAATAACAATAATGTTGAGGAATAGTGACGAAGATTGGAGGCGCCTACCGACAAGACTTGAACCTTTGAATATGAAATCAAATATCGACAAATAAGATAAGGGACGGTGTCCATATTAAATTTTCATATAAATAAATGTTAAAATATAATTTGTACTACAACAGACAGAATATATTATTAATTTTAATATTTATATTCGAAATAACAAAAAAATTATCCTTTTTTATGTAGTTTAATTTGATGTTGATAAATTTTTTTGTATTGCAGTAATTTTTGTTAGAAATTTGATAGCATTTTAATAAAATTTTGATAATTTTTAATATAACTTTGATAACTTTTTATATTATTTTGAAATTTTATGATATAATTTAACTAATCATTGATATAATTTTAATAATCATTAATAAAATTTTAATTTTAGTTATTTTAAATATGATTTTGATAACTTATGATATAATTTTGATAATCATTAAAATAATTTTGATAATTTTAGATATATTTTTAATAATTTTTTTATATAATTTTTATTTTAACAACTTTTATATGTTTTGATAACTAAGTTTAGATAAATATAAATCAAAATAAAAATAAATGAAATTTATTGAAAGAACAATCAAACTTTTAAAATGCTTGCATGGATTAAGTGAAATTAACCATGTGACAACTTCATTAATTCATGTCAATGTCGATTATCAAAATACCACATTAACAAAAGTTAGCGATTACATCAATAAACCAACAATTATATCAAAATTTGTAATGAAGTTTGAAAGAACTAATAATTGAACTAAAATTATTAAATTCAATTAATATTAATATTACATTTATAAGAATTATACTACATGAATTAAAATTTTAAATTTTGATCAAGTACAGGGACTGAAAGCACAATATGACCTTTCTTAGACTATAATGGTTTATGGTATCCTCCCAGTCGAGCTATCTTCAATTTCACTAAGTTAATGCAGGTAATCAATACCGTTATCCTATTCCAAAGAGTAAATGTTAAAGCCCACGATGTTTTGCCTAGCTGCTTTGAGACTTCCGGAGCCAAGATACTCGTTTTCGATGCCCCAGGACCTGTTTATTTGTTCCCAATCGTGTGCACCTCTAAGTACCCTATTACCGCAGGCCTGTAACATTTAAAAACCAAAACCTTCATGTTAACACACAATGGTAAATGAAAATTTTACAGACTGATTTCTTTTCAGCCATAGCTGACCTTAAATGTGTATTGAGTCCACAAGTCCCTTTGGACTTTATCCTCTTCTTTCTGATTAGTCAAACAATATATTATATTCTCTTCAATTTATCAAGCAATTAATACACATCGGAGATTTTATTTTGAATTAGTATTGTGTTAGCCCAAGTAAAGCGGCAATCCACGCAAGGCCGGTGGATTATATTTGATAGGAAATCACAAAAAAAAAATAAAAAGATATAAAGTGATGCGAATAGGAGAAGAATCTATGGATGCTATATGTAGTAGAAATTTAAGCAAATTTACTGCAATCAAAGCACCAAAAAAGGAGTCATCTGATGAGTACATCTCAGGTCAACTTCACCCCATACCATATATATAAGAACAGAGTCGTAACAACTCAAAAGGATGGATCATACACAATTGCATACGTACATGTTCAAATTTTTTTATTTCTCTAGAATTTTCGCTTTCAATTTGGATCCGTTGCCAATTTCGCTTTGGATTCCTTATGGTAGATCTTTTGACGTGTGACAATAAGTTTGTACAGATGTAAATTGGAGTGTGGTGGTCCTACCGTGTTTTTTTATGGAATAGATTCCATCTTGATTGTAACTAAAGTTGCAGTCCTCACTATTATTATAGGAATTTTTTGTCATCATTTTTTAATGTTAGTCGACAAAGAAAAACCCAGATCATAAACAACCATCCAAATATAAGGAAAGAGAGAAAAACAGAAAAATTATTCTTCTATTGAATGAGTATACATTCCCACTGGGAGCTTGGTTTTTTATCTAAAACGAAAAAAGCAAGCCCTAAGACCAAAGAAACCAGCTTCAGTTCTTTTTTTTCTTTTTCTTTTTCTTTTTTTACAAAAGTAAGCGATTTGGTGGGGAATATGCTGATGATGCAATTTGGAAATTGTTGCTATGTTTTTATATATATAGTATTTTGGTAAAGAAAATTATAGTCAGCGACTTGAAGATCCGAACATTTGATCAAGAAGGATGACTAGAGCCATGGCAAAGTCTGTCCTGATATTATCAGGCTGAACAACAAGACGGAAGATGTCGGTTCCAAAGGCAACCCCTCCAACAGCCTCTTTCCTCCTGATCTCTGCCACTAACCTCCTCTTGTCATCGTACACAGCACAACATCGTTGGGAATATGACCCTTCAATCTCGTACATGATGTTTTTATTTCGATTGTTAGTGTTCCCAGGGATAACGTAAGCCAAGCACTTGTTGTTTAGGATTTTGACTGATTTCCTGACAGAAAGTCGGGGATTCACTAATGTTTCTCCCTCGTAAACCAGCCAGCTATCTCCGAGGCTCATTTTCTGACAATATAAACATATATTTAATCCCTATCTCAAACTATGCCTAATTGACTTAGATTTAAATAAAGCAAAACTTATGTGCAAAGTTAGAAAAGGCACCTTGCGGCGGATGGTGAGGAGAGGGTTGCCAGTCGCATCCATGAGAAGGATCTCACCCTTGTTGCCTTCCATGTAATTATCTACCCTGAATACCAAATTACCTTTACCATCAAACACAGTGAAGCCGTTACAGTTGAACAGCAAAGATTTTCTCCAGACCGTTAGAATTGCCTCCTCCCTAGTTTCAGCTTCTACTAACAGCTTAGGCGGCCTCTCGGAGATGGCATTGCTGCCGATGAAACTAGCGTTGGGATAGACCTTTGTCATTCGCGTAAAAGATTCCAGCCCTTTTTTAGCTCTAATTTGGAAAGAAAATTGCAAGTCAACCAACGCTTAACTCAACTCAACTCAACTCACTATTGTGATCAAAGTGAGAGATGAAAAAAAAAAAAAGAGAGAAAAGCCAATGCCAACCTTGCTACCTTGGTTTGGGTGGACGGTTAGGCATAGAGGGCAATATATGTAAAGCGGAAAAAATGGGGTCGAGAGAGAATAGAAGAGACGCACAAATTGGGTGCAAAAGTCTAAGACGAGTGCGCCACCATGTAATGACGTCAAACTAGCATTTGATTGGGCGAAGAAAATAATTGAAGAAAGCGAAAAGGGAAGAGACAGTAGATTGGATGATGAACATTGAGCAATCGGTGCATTTTAAAAAGACGGAAAAGGTTTGAGGTAAAAACAAAAAATAGCCCTTAAGCTGTCTTTGCTTCAAAGCAAGCTAAAAATTATGCTTCTTCTCTTAAAATAAGATTTTTAGAGATGTAATTTGCGGTTGGGGCAGTGGACACTCGTCTACTGCCAAATGCTGTTTCTTATATATTTTGCAGACGGTGTTCCATTGACCATTTATTTGATTTTCTTAATATGTGAAACACAGAGTATATGTATATTAAATTATTAATAGCCTTATTATATATATGTATATTTGAATAAGAATATATCATTTATAATTATTATAATATAATTAATTAATAATAATTGAATATTATTATTGATTTAAAATTTTAAATATTTAATAAATAAAAAAATAAAAAAAAAAAAGTAAATAAGAAAATTACGAAAAAAAAAAAGGGTTTGATGGATAATATCAAATGAACTCTACAAAAGAAACAAACTTAAAAAATAAAAAATTTAAATATAAAAAAGTTAAAAAAATAGAAAAATAATAAAAAATTGGCATTTAATACTTCAAAGCAGTTCACACAAAAAAATATATTTTTAAAATTATATTAAATATAAAAAAATAAAAAAGTTAAATAAAAAAAAAAACTATGAATTTTCACATAAACTAAAATATGTAGGATTTTATATATAAGATAGGCGTAAAAATAAGGTTTCGGAGGCTCAGGCCATTCACTTTTTTCTATTGGGATTTAAATTTTAGGAGTTGTGAAAATATAATACTAATCTAAATAAAATTCAAATGAACGTATATCCTTAATTTAACCCAAGTAATGTAAGATTTTCACCCTTATAGCGATGGAAGAATCAACCGGGTGTGAAGCCAAAGTGGAATTCATTCTGGCTGAGATTTCATAACCATGAAACCGAACGTGGATTTAAAATTTGAAGACACTACGAATACAAAAGAGAAAGGACTTGTGTTTTAAGTCAACCATATATAATTTGGCATAAAGCGGCTTTATATAGAGTGGGCATGCATATAATATAATATTATATATTCCCTGCATTTTAATTAACTTTGAGATAATAAAGTCCGTATAGGTCAAGTGTCATATGAATCCAGACACCAGGGTTAAGACGGCACCCAGCGCATTAGGAAGTGACTTCCACATCATTTCCTAATCAAATAAGTCTGTAAATATAGAGTGAAGAGGACTGGTAGCGAACAGGAGACGCGGAGATTGATAAATTAATAATCAAGTTAACTTAGCTGACCTAACAAGAAACATAATCACCAGAACAATGGTGTTACATGACTCATTACCTAAACCAACTTGTTGCATATTATTATTGGAGTTTTAATGCAACCCATGTAATGGCATTACATAAGTATGCTTGGTTGTCCCTGCCATAAAAAAAAAAAATTTTTCTCAGAAGTGGAAAAACAAGCCTTTGAAATGTGCCTTACCAAATATATATATAAAGTGTAGGGGATGCTTGGAAGTCGTTTTTAAGCAAATAGCCAAAACTTCATTTTCTGTCTTGGCCGTTTGATGACCTTGCCATCTCAGGGCAGGTATTGTATGAGGAGGTTTACTTCCATTTTAACCCACCCTTTGATTTATTTATTTTCCCCAGTTACTATTTACACTATCTTTACACAACAGAAAACAGATATTTACTGTTCATAAACAAATTGAACAGCAAAACAAGCCAGACATTTATTAGGAATTTAGTTGCCCGTTCTTAGTTGGAACTGAAAATTTCAAATTATTGACCAAATTTTTATTTATTTATTTTTTTGAATTAGATATAGGTGGCTTACTGACAAACGCAAGGAGCAATTCACTATGCAATGATGGCTGAGAAAGCATATCCATACGTTTGGTATAAGACATTAAGTTGACATGTTTGATGACAAACCTGCTCAGTGACTACCTTCCTAAATCTGAAGCAGTGAAAAACATGTATAGAAACAAATAAATGTACCAAACATCATAAAACTGGGTCTAATTACAGCACACAAATTAAGCACAATCATGTTGTTGTAGTAAAGCACAATTCAGCGAAGGGTTTCGATATTTTTGCTCAGCTCCTCCAGCTTCGTCATCCTCAATCTCTCACTTTCACTCACCAGCTAACCAGCATTTGACAGAAAGGAAAATGACGAGCAATATGTCACTTAGAAATTGTCATAACAAGGTTTGATCAAAGTAAATAAATAAATGCTCCTATTTATTGAACCAGTAACAAGAACAAATATTCACCTCCATTAGTTTGCTAACTAGTTGTGCTTTCTCCTTGTTCTTATCATTGAAGGCTTCAAGGGCTTCTTTGTATTCTCTTTCCTGTGATTATCAAAACTGTTGAACTTTAGTGCTGCTATGATAATGACAAGAAAAAATTTTACTCGAAAAGGTGAATTTTCAGCTAGGAACCATTTATATGTCCCATTTGGTTGCATCAAATGATGAGAGGTTACCATAATCATCAAAAATATTACTGACTATACCCTCTATTGCAACTAGATAATCATTGTAATAATTACTAATGAGAATAATGTTTGCACCTTCTTCTGGCAGCTCTGTCCCAGTGGTTTCAGCTCCCGGTTAACCGTGTCTATCTTCTTCCGCTGAATTGCAATTTCCTTCCTCATTGGATCTATGAGGGCATCAAGCTCCTGGATTTTATTAATTCCCAGAATCCACAATATGTCACATTATAATCCAATAGAAGCAGACAGTTATATCATTACAGTTAAAACTTAAAAATCATTTCCATTTTCAATTTGAAGTACCCTTTAAAATGAAGAATCTGGTTTATAGATATTATAATTCTAATTAAATTCCCAACTTAGATACACTAACACTGCTGCACTCTTTTTCGCAAATTAAACAAAGTAGCAGAATATTTTTTATTGATTATTTTTTGGCTGAATAAAAATGTTGGTTCCTGTCAGATTTCTTCATGGTCTAAAACAAAATTCATGCTGCAATAGTATCATATAGATTCATGTTTTTCTTTCAGGCCAGAGTTAATATATATAACAAGCATGAAGCTACATATGAAGTCTCATTCTAGTTTCTAAACTATGATCCGATACATATTTTTTTTTCCCAAACTTACTTCTCGAATGTCAGCCAAGCGCCTAGTTGCTTCTTCCACGCGTCCCATATAAGCCTGAACCTTGTCCCTCACCTCCATCTTCTTTCTCTCAATCTCTTCTTCCTTTGCTCGAAACAACGCCAATGCAGATTTTTCCATTTCCTCTTCCTTATCATCTTTTATTGGACTCCCATTGCTACTGATAATTCCGGAGTTCTTTACTCGCTGCATCTGTGATTGTTGTTGCTCCCATATCTGCTTTTGTGTTGCCATTGATGCCATCTTATACCCCCCCTATTTCTTTTCTTCTTACAATTCTCTTTTACCCCCCTCTATTTTCTTTGGCTCTTTTCTTTAGAATGATGGCTCTCTTTCCCCCTGCTATAGCTCGTTATATGCAAGGCTCGCTTTAAAGCTATGTAATTGAAACCAACTAGCTTACTTTAACAAAAAACAAATAGTAGCATTAATAAAAGATACGAAATGACCAAATTGTCTATTTACTTTTTTTTTTTTGGTGAAAAATTGTCTGCTTACTTTGTAATGATGAAGTTAGAGAGGATTTTTATCTTTCTTTAACGAAAACTTAAATCAAATGTTCTTTCCACTCTTTATTTTAACACCCTCGTAATAAAGATCAGCACAATTTTGTATTCAAATTTGAGCTTAGAAGTATGTTATCAGTAATTCCACGTACAATTCTTTCTTGTACACCTTTCCAATTGTAATTTTTTTTTAAGCTCAGATTGGAGGAGGATCTAGATGGGACTCTTTTGGTAAGCTAGCTATTTGCTTGTGTTGGTCTATTAACAAGTTCAGTTAACTACTGCTGTTCTTCTCACTTGTGTATCAAATTTTCACATTTTTGAATTAAAAATACATACAAGTATATAAAAATTTTATACAACTTACCACCTCCTAGTGTATTTATGAAGAAACATATGATTATTGGTGAACAGATCATTTTTCTCAATTCCAAAATGTAAATTATTTATAATAATAATAATAATAATAATAATGTTGCTGTCAGTTAAACTGATACATATTGGTTGAAGGGTCCTAAAGTGTATTGGTAAATCTTCTTATTCCTTGAAGAGGAATGCTTGGAGCAGAAGCCTTTCTTTGTGGAGTGGACAACAAGTGGTCACCTAGGGAAAGCCTTAAGAGAAAAGACAGAGTAGGAGAGATTGGGTGGCAGCAGCGTAGCTATCTGCTCCTTATTACACAATATATATCATTACCCTTCCAGCTTCTACTTCTAAAAAAGAATCTTCATTTTTAATCTTCAGGTTTTTCCTTTCTTAGTTCACTTTAGGATGACAAGGCAAGTGGTTGAAAGGCTAATTTTGGAGACGTAAAGGAAGTACATTAACATATATGTTGCTCCAACTCGGTGTTTGAGGGCTGAATGATTATGTGTCTAACAAGGGTATTTTTTTTTTTTTGCTATATTTGCCTAATTGCTGATTATCTACAGTTGTTTTAAACAGTTGATAACTTAATATGCTGCTGCATCATGCATAAATAAAAAAGATGGATTCTTTTCTTCATGCTACAGAAAACCAATATGCTGATAGTCCCCACATGGATTTTTGTAGTATGAATTCGAAATTTAAAATCCATTCACTAAATTTCTGCAAATGTCAAAAAAAAAAAAATGGATTAAGTTTGGGGGTGTGGCAGAAACATATGCTTCGTTTTGTGCTTTAATTTTTGGTTTTTGGGTTATCATATCTCTTTAGCACGGCCTTGAATTTTGGTTTTATTTATTCTTTTTGTGTTATTAGAAGAGAATGAGTGGGTTTCGGTTGGGCAAAGACAGGCCAGCAAGGACAACGAATTTACTTAAGTTTAAGCCCTTTGGGCCTCTACTACCTCAGCTTCTGGGGTATCTGTAAACTATTGCAAGGGCTTGTTGTTTGTTGAAGTCGAAATAGATTAGGAATGCTTGGGTTGGACCTGGTCAGAGTTACGGCTGACGGGCCTTTTTATTGTCTTAATCGGGTCCCAGGGCCCAGGGGGAAATGATTTCAATAAAAGGGATTTCTTGAGGTGTTAGAGAGAGACAGAGCGAAACCAAAGGATTTGAGAACTTGCCTTTCACAATTAGCTCCCAGGTTCATATTTATTTCTTTTCATAAATAAACAATTTTAAGAATCATTATTTTTTTGTATTTAAATTTTTTTAATAATATTCAAATTCTTTAATAAATTGGTTTCTTGAAAATACCAATTCAATTTGAGAATTGACAAAAAAATAATTTTATTTCTCTTGAATGTCGAGAATCCAAAATTTAAAATTCACTTTTTATTTTTAATATATTTTAAAAGTTATTTTATTTTTTAAAATTAATATTAAATTTTAAAATAATAATTAATCTATCGTATTTTGTTACAGTAAAATAATATTCTATATTATATTTTTTATTATTTTTATTATAAAATTATAAATTATACTCTTATATACATGATTATAAAAAACTCACGAAAAAACTCAATTACAATATTTATATGCATTGAAATTTTATTAAAATGTGAGTATATGTATTAGTTCGGATCAATATGAAATTATTATCTTACGTTGATTTAGTATTTTTTTTATAGATAATTATAAATTTTTATTTTAAATATTTAATTAAATAATTAATATTTTATAAATTTTACTCAAATAATAAACCTGTAAAAGGCTAAAATATTATATTTTAAAAACTTTTCTTCATGGTTTCAAGATTAAATTAAAATCTTACGTTATTACTTTTTTTTTTCCAATGCAAGCTTACATTCAAATTATCAAATTGTCTAAAATTTTTTTATTTATCTCCAAAATTAAGATAATGAATAAAATAATGGTAAGTTTTCCACGTGTCAAATGCTACCTCCGGTCACACCCGAAGCGTGGTCCGCAAGCCTCTCCATAAATTTACGATTTTCTCCTCCCCTTCCTCTGTTTCCACTTTAAAACTGCAACTTCCCCCACGGAAGGCCGCCAATTTTTTCTTTTTCTTTTTTTTTTCATTAAAAAAAATCCTTTTGGAAATATACGACTTTCCGCATAAACGTTGGGGTTTCTTACGTTGTCTCCTAGGTTTTTTACGCCCCGTTTGATCATCGTTTTCTCTTTCTAGTTATGTCGTCGAGATGCAGAAACCCAAACCCCAGAGCCCGGTCTCCGCCGCCTCGTTCACGACCTCGGGACCCCTTACCATGTTCGAAACGGGCCGAACCGGAGCGGTTACCTATACTGGAGAAACGACAACAGTGCAACAAGAGTAACCATGAAGATGATGACAGAGAACTCTGCATGAAAAAACTTTCGGAGTTTAACGAATCATTGTTGCGCCAAGGACAGTCGACGTCTACCAAGTTCCAATGGAGCCATCTTTTACTCGATAATTCCGGGGAGGCATCGGCGGAGGCTACTAAGCCGGAGTTAGCAATGCAGAATGTGAGAACTGCGGCAACTTATTCAATCAGCCCAATGGGGATTTGTATAACAAAAGAAAACCGGTTTATTGATTCAAGGGAACCACAGTTGAAGGAAATAAAGTTGGGTTTTGACAACAATGGCGAAGGTTTCCGATACCCAGATGTCAGAAACAGGGGAACGATTGCTGAGGCAGTAGATTTTGTTGGGCGTGGGGAAATTTTGGGTTTTGAATCTTCTTGCATGATATCTGAAATGGCTAGGAATCGGATTATGAGAACCGAACAAGCTACTGAGTTAGCTTACCGGAAGATGGAAAGTACAAGAGCTAGAGCCAGTGCTATTTGTTCTATCATAGACAAAATTGATGGTGCTGTGGAAAGCTGGGCATTGGAACAGTATATGGCTGAACAAAATATAGAACTTTTGCATGGAGAAAGGCACCAGCAAAGAGAAGATTGTAGCCATTATGCTTTGACTCAACGTTATATGGGTTTTAGTGGACAAGGAAACGAAGTTGTGGGTTTTACGATGAATCGTCCTCAGACCCCAAAGGGAGGTCCTTTCCGTGGTGAATTGGGTAGTGGTCATGTTTGTCCTCAACTTTATCCTGATTTAGAAGAAAAGTCACGTAGGTTTAAAGGACGTGAGGTTCTGGGTTGTTGGATGAATCATGACCAGAGCCAAAATGAAGCAGTTTTTCTTGGTGAAAGCCAGCAGTTTCAACATTATGTTAATTTAAGTGGGCGATCACATGAGGTTGAGCAACAAAATGTGGGTTTCAGCTCTAGGATTAATTGTCGTCACAGCCCAAAGAGAGCTCCTGTGCGTGGTGAAATGCAGGAGTTGCCACAAGATTATGGCCATTATTTACCTTCAAATTATCTTGATATTAGCAGAGAACCACATGTAAAGGAGCAAACAGATGATGTTTCCAGTTCTTTGATCAATGATGCGCAAGCCGAAAAGGGGGCTGTTTTGAATGATGAGAGGCAGGATTTATCTGAAGATTATAGTCATTCTTTACCACAACTTGATCTTGATTTTTGTGTTGAATCACATGAGACGCAGCAAGAAAATGTGCTTCTGGATTCTATGATGAACGGTCCTCATAAACGAAGAGGAGCACTTTTGCATGGTGAAGAGCAGCAAATGCAACAAGATTGCAGTCATTCTTTATTTCAATATCATCTTGGTTTAAAAGAAGAATCACATGTGATGGAGCAAGAAATTGAAGCTCTGGCTTCAAGGATGAATCATCTTCAGGACCAGAAGGTAGCTTTTTTTCATGGTGAAACCCTGCCTTTGCAACAAGATTGTGCCTTGGAAAGCTATCCCTTGTCAAAGCAGGATGATGATGTGCGCACCGCTGAGGGTAGCACTCAGCAGATTTCAGCAACAGAGGAGCTAGGCATCAATGGCCAATTTTCCAAGGCACGTCCAAGGAAACGTATTATTGATCTGAGAAAGATTAGAGAGAGTCAAATAAGTACATTAACCCGAACTTTGGATGCCTCAAATGATGAGATTCTCGACGCCGGATACAGAGGTGAACAATCGAGTGATGACGATTTCCAGCAATTATTATTGCTAAGAAATTCAGGATCTGAGCCCTCCCAAGATGAGGGGGCTGTTTTGTTTGATGAGTTGCCAGATCAAAGGAACATTATTGACTGTGACTATCAATTCTCCACTCGTCATATGCGAGAATTCTCACAACCTTCTAATAGGAAAAATATAAAGCAGCGTTTGGGTTCCAGTAGAAAAAGCATAAAGCAGCGATTGGGGCCTCCTTGTCAAGTTCATTCTAATAGGAAAAGTATAAAGCAGCGTTTGGGGCGGCCTTGTCAAGTTTATAATCCAAATGTTATGCCTCCGATTGAAAGACATAAAACGAGGAAACTCCTGATGAAAAATGTTAATGATGTTCACAAAGGGGTTCAAGCACGAGATGTTGATTTGCCAGTTGTGAAACGTGGAAGGACTGAGCCACCTGAGGACACTGAGGAGTTCAAGCAGCTAATAGATGCTGCTTTTGTTAAATTTGTCAAAGTTTTGAATGAGAACCCAGCTCAACGAAGGAAATACACAGAGAAAGGAGCAGCTGAGACCTTAAAGTGCTGTGTATGTGGCAGGTCTGTCATCTACACCCTTGGTATTTGTTTAGAAAAGATCCTCATTGAATTTAATTTACCTTTTATTCCATGACCAATAAAATATATGGGCTAAATGGTTAATTAGCTGTCTAAACTCCACGTGTCTCTGTCACTCTTAGAACCAAGTTTATCATCTGACTTTCTAGCACATTTTCCTTAGAAGCTTTCTTGACCATTTTTCTTGGTCACATGGTTTTGTTTTGAGCTATGTGTTTTACTCTATACGTCTCTTTGGACTTAGGATAGTGCTTCCTTCATCTTTACGATTACCATAAGTTTTTTATGATCTAGTTAAATGTACGATTAGAAGGAATTTCTTTTCATGGAAATATTACGGATATAGGGAAATAGGTCCAGTAATACAGTACTTAAAATGCTTATCGTATTATAAATATGCTTCTGATTTGTGAATAATCTTTTATTTGATCTGTGCTTCTGATTTGTAACTAACCTTTTACTTGTTTTGACACAAGTTATTGACACTCTTGTCCTCTAATTCCCACCGAACTTTGGTTGAACTGATATGCTTCTACAATTTGCTCTTTGTCGTCTGATTTTGGTTTCAACATTCTCCTTTAATGAGTCCTTGACTTTCTTGTTTTATCAGCAATTCCAAAGACTTTGTCAATACACCAAGCTTGCTAATGCATGCCTTCACATCTAGAATGGTTGGGCGTAGAGTAGACCACTTGGGTTTGCACAAAGCACTTTGTTTGTTGATGGGATGGAGCTCAATGGCAGCTTCTAATAGTCTATGGGTCCAAAAGACATTGCCTGATGCTGAAGCCTTGGCTATGACGGAGGATCTTGTAGTGTGGCCTCCAGTTGTTATCTTGCACAACAGTTCTATAGCAGCTACCAATTTAGATGATCAGATTATAGTAAGTATTGAAGAGCTTGAGGCATTTCTCAGAGGTAAGTTAACCTTTACGATGATGGTGGCTACCAGTATCACCTAGTTTTACTGATTTTTAAAATACTCTTTTTGGTATTGGATGCTGCATGGTTTCAACTCTCAGTCTTCATTTGACAAAAACTATCTGTTTGCATGATAGCTCTTATTGAACTATTTCTTTACAAATTATTCATGAGATTTTGTTTGGATTTTGTACTACCCTTAGTCTTGCAACACTTTCATCATTTTCCTTGTACGTGAATCATTTTAGAAACCAAATATTTGGATTTTTCAACTTTATCACTGTGATTTTATCTTGAGATTTCTGATCTAGAATTTGAAGGACATGTAATCTAGGTCTTTATGCAGAGCCATGTACTTACATTTGGCAGTTTATATGGATCTGTTTCTTCAAAACTCACTTGATTTACTTCTCTGTTCTCCCCTCAACACTAAATCCTCCTTTCAGGATTACCCCAAAGTTTTGGGGTAACTTTTGCAAGAGTCGATTCATTTTTATGTGATATGCTGGTTTGTTCCACTTTGTTTCCTGACTCTGTTTAATTGCAGACATGGGATTTGGCCGGGGGATATCCAAGGTGTGCCGTGGGAAACCTGCAAATCAGAGTATCATGACAGTGATTTTCCATGGAACCTTTTCAGGGCTACAAGAAGCGGAGAGACTTCACAATCTTTATGCTGAGAACAAACATGGGAGGGCTGAGTTTCGGCGAATGAAATGTAGTAGTGGAGAAACGCAGAAAGTGTCTTTAGACAAGTTCAAAGATGTACTATATGGCTACTTGGGAATTGCAGTTGACTTGGATAAACTTGATTTTGAGACAAAGAGTCGTTCTGTGGTTAAAAGCAAGAAGGAAATCTATGCCATTGCTGATGCCCTTCTTTACAGTGAATGAGAAACTTGGATCTTATTGAAGAGAGGTACAAGTAAATTCATAGGTGCACCTTTTTTCTTTTTGGATTTTTGCAAAGGGAAAGAGTACATATCCAGCTCAACTAACTCCAGTTTGAATATCCCTCTTTTCTTCACCAATAAGAGGTTAGGGTCTGTTTGAGGAAACGTTAGTTGGTAGAGGGTTTTTTTTGTTTTCAACTACTCTTTGGGAAAATGACAGATTCAGTACGAATTAGTTTGAGAATCTGAGATGAGCTGCTCTTTTTTTTTTTTTAATCATTATTGTTTATCTTTGGAATCAACTTCAAAGTTTGATGTTCTCAGACGATGTCTGACTAGAAAGAATTTACTTCAAAGGATTTAATATGAGCTTACGTTAATGATACTATATATAAAGGTTCCCTATGAAGAATTAATTCAGCTCTCTACGACTAGGGGCATGCTGAGAGTAGTCCCTTCCGAGCTACCTAAGTTGTGTAATTTTACAATTGCTGTAAAGCTAGTCCTGTCACAACATATGCATGGGATCACTTCCTTTGATTGAATATTTGTGGATGTAATAAAAGCATGTTGCCTTTTGTATTTGAGGCCATCTGCTCAGGAATCACGTATCTGCATGTGGATTTCTGTGATTGAAATCTTCAATCCATGTCTTCAAATTATAAGTGAGATAAAATTTGTAAAAGCAATCAAGGTTAAGGGAAGAAGAGGAGTATCCACTGCTTAGAAATCTGCCAACAGAACACTGTTACTTTTCATTCATACAATTTGGCAGGTCAAACAAACCAGTCCCCTTCCATACCACGTATATGATAATTAAAAACTGTGGGCATATTTATATTGACATTTTCCCGGCCAATATCAAGGCCCAGACTGGATCAACCAGAGCTTTCGAGTGCAAATAATTAGGAACTACGAATGAATGACGATGCTGTTTTCTGCCAAGTTGTTCTCCAGTAAATGATTCACACGCATCTTCAAGTAAGTCTAATACCTGCTATGGCAACACAACTCGTAAGCTTTGCTAACTTGTATGCAGCATATAATACCATTAACTTTCTGAATGAAATCAAAACATGGGAGGCTCAGTGCTATAACTAAATGATGAAACTAACCAATTTTGTTTTAGCTACTCAAGAACTTTAGAGTACATAGACGGCTAGACCAATATCCCATTGTACCTGGTAATCAAGCATTATAGGAAAGAAGGGGAAATTATCTTCCTTTTTTTTCAAATAAAGGCAAGTGGTTGTAATAAAATGATGAATGCACCAAAACAAGGGAAAGTTAAAATGAGTTGAGCTGGACAAAGCACCGAAGAATTCAATTTAAATCCAAATAACAAGACTTCCACAGAGCTAAATTAAACGAGCAACCCATGAATACTACCTCCATTTTGCTTATCCATTACAAGAATAAGATCAAAATCTCTAAAGTCGGATGGCCGGATTGGCCTTGAAATAGATGTTATCTCAATCCCACTCCTTTTTGAGGCTGCCCTCATTCTTGGGTCTGCCAAATTTCCCTTCACAAACAACAAAAACATTAATTAACTTTTTTTTTAAAATCCCATTTTCCTTTCACTATAACCCATTGGTCGCTGACAATCAAAAGATTAAAAGGTCAGAAAAAAAGGTTCTATAATCCTAACAGTCACATTGCTTGGGGATCCTAGAAAACATCAATATTTATCATTTAAATTCCTTGCTATCCCAGAAAGCTTCAATCTAAACTCATTCTGATCCTATTACCAAAATCATAAACCAAAACAGGCAGATGGTTGGTGATACATATAAATAAAAATTCAGTCCAAAAATACCAATTTTATCACATTTGAAGTTTATATGCCTCATGGTAATCCATGGTGCCAGCAGCGTCAATGTTAAACTTGGAGTCAAGGCCTTTCTTTTTCACAATATCTCTAAAGACGCCTTCAGCAGCTGGACTCCTGCAGATATTGCCTAAGCAAACAAACAGAACAGAGAAAGTTTTCGTCTCTGTGGCAACCCCTGTGGATGATGCTGAAGAGGCCATTGATGCTTTTACCATCGACACAAAAGGAGAATTGGCAGGGCTTTGGTGGGGATATGGAGGTGATTTCGGGCTTTGGAAAGATGGGTATTTGCTTGATGGAAGGAGAGGAATAAAAAATGAGGAATTGGGGGAAAGGAAGCGGGAGTGGTGGCAAAATTGTAAATATTAAGGAGTTGCTGGTACCGTTCAGAGATGGACTCATTAACTCCTGCAAGTGCGGAGGTGTTTTCGTGGTGGGAACTGGATTGGGTTTGAAAAAACAGTAGGGGCAGGGGGCAGAGGGCAGTCAATGTTACAAGTAAATTAAGATAGATAAAAACAAAAAGAAATATGGGGGTGATTATGGACTTGAACTTTCGTCAACGGGTTGGGTTCATTGCCTTCTCAAACACAAGGAATTTGCATTTTTTTTTTCTATCGGACATTCGGGTTGAAAATCTTCGTTTTACACCGTTAAAACACTTTCTAAAAGCTTGGTTGGCTGCATATGTAGCAGCTTGCTTGCTTGCTTGCTTTTAATTTTTGAGAGAGAATCAATCAAACTACAGAAGCTAGAAAAATCAGGGTTAAGTGCCTTACTAAAACTACAGAACCTAATAATTGCAAGACATGTGGGTCCAAAGGTAAATGTTGAAAGATTTGGTCTTTTTATGAAGTTTGATTTAATGGTATTACTATTTAATATATATCATTAGCAAAATGTAATTACTACTATTCTTGTACAAAGGGTGAAAAAATAAAAATATAAAATTTGGTGTGATTGAACAGAAATTACTTTTGATACCTCGGATGAAAATAAATCATTGACACAATATCACAATTCTATATATAAAAATCATGAATCTCATATTAATTATATATTATAATTGATCTTAAGATATAAAAGTTCACATATTTCTCTTTTTATGAAATATTTTTTATGAGATAAAATTATAAATTCAAAAAAATCAAAACGAACAATACCTGTTTGTATACACTGATATTCTTCTACACAGCCTTGTCAGGTTATGATAGTGGTGCGGCCGATAAAGATCGAATGAATGCTATGATAATCAAGACGCTGCTGTACAGCACTTTTTGAAGACTCAACTGGCTCTACCGTATATTTATATCAAAGTAATAACTTACTTACCGCCCATTTTCTGAATTACATTTACACTATATGCTTTATATAAATATATATCAGTTACAACAGGATCAGAAGCCTCACCGGTAAAAAGAAAACTAAAATGTCTTTCCTTTCCACATCAGATAAGATGCAGCTAGAACATATCAAACTCCATATGGTCTTCTGTGCACTGCAATTCCTCGCCTTTGGAGCTGTCCTTTTTCTGCAAAGCTGCTGTTGGCACACAGATACCAGTGTCACAGAACCTTGGCATCTCAGGTGGTATTGCACATCGTATCAGAGCCCAATTTAGGCCTTCAAAGAACGGATGCTGTTTGATCTCCGCAGCTCCTTTCACTGATCCTAACCGATTCTCAGGTTCCTTTACTAAAAGCCCTCTTATCAAATCTCTCGCATGAAAACTAACTATAGGGCTAGTAGGAAACCTAAGGCTATGTGACACCACATTGGATAGCGTTTCATCATTTCCTGAACCCTTGAATGGCGTTCTACCATACAAAAGCTCAAACAGAAAGATTCCAAACGTCCACCAATCAACAGCATTCCCATGACCCTCACCCTTGATGATTTCTGGAGCAAGGTATTCATGCGTTCCAACAAACGAGTTTGACCGCGCACTGGTTGGCTCCACTACAACCTGTGGCATGGGGCTAATCTGAGTAGCTAGTTCAGACTTTATCCTCCTTGATTTGGAAGCAAGAGATAGAAGCCTAGGAGTGAAGCATGGGACTTGAAAGGATGGATTGAGGCAGAGAGGCTCAATACAGCTGGATTCAGAGCATGGACTTGACATCTTCTCTGCAGGCTCAGCAACAGGTGAAGCGGATTTAAGCAGCACTGGATTAACAGCGCATCTGAGTGACAAGTCAAAATCTGTGAGCATGATGTGACCGTCTTCTCTGACCAGGATATTTTCTGGTTTTAGATCTCGATATACAACACCAAGCATGTGTAGGTACTCCAATGCAAGGAGGACTTCAGCAACATAAAACCTGTACAAAAGAAAATCAGAAATTGGAACAAAAACATCAAGAAAACCAGAGCGATAAGAAACTGTGGATGAATAAAGCATCCAGAAATTCTTCAATTTTATACTACTAAACATAGACAAATAGTCCTCTCTTCGAGATGAAGTTGTGCATCAGGTCCAAATAGAAAGAAATAAAGCAAAGGCATGGGAACCGACACACTTAAACATGCAAGCAGTGAACAATCTGGAATTCAAAGCCTGCTCGAAGCATGCAATCCTATTGAACTCAATGCAGATCACAGCATAAAAAATATTCAAGTATATCATATCTTTCTCCACATCCTAGGAGCACCTATTTTTGGTTACTCCAAGGCTTAAAAAGGTAGGTTTAAGCTGAAATTACAAAAAACTAAATGACAAGAAGAATGAGTACCAAGATAAATAGATCTATTTCAGACAAAATAAGAACAGTGTTTGCTCTTAGCTATTTTCCTCTATGTCCTACTAGTTGTGCAGAATCAGAAATAGATAAAATTAAGAACAAGGTAAATTGAACGATAAAAATTCCAGTTCACCCAAACTTGGAGCATTTCTTAACATCATTAAGAGAAAGATGCTACCTTGCGGCTTGTTCAGAGAAACTCCTGCCAGATTGCTTCTGTCGTAGCACATGCAAATCTCCACCTGGACAATACTCCATAAGCAAACAAGAAAGTTTTTCTGTTGCAAAATAGGCATATAGCGTGGGAAGAAAAGGATGATCCAGCATTTGCATTATCTCCTTTTCTGTTTGTGCCCTAGGCATCTTCTTGCGGCTCAACAAAAAATCATTGTCCATCACTTTCAAAGCAAATAAGCAGTGTGTACCAGTTAGCTCAGCAAGATAAACAGTCCCAATGTCCCCACAACCAAGCTTCTTGAGGAGCTTGAAGTGCCTCAAACTCAAGTTTCCATGCTGCTTCTGAATAGAGCGAATAGCTTCCCACCTCAAATCTTTTGACATGTGAGGTCTGCTACCACTTCGACTAGACCCACTGATATTGCTTTCGTCACTAGTAGTTGTGCTACAACTGTACTCCCCAATGCTACTTTTCGAGCTCTGGGAAAACTCTCCCTTTTCCCTTGATCTTGATCTGTCATCAGCTTTGGTCAACAGGGCCTTGGATTTGTTATTACAGTTTGAACTCAAAGTTGATTTGAAACTTGAACCCTCCATGGTTGAGTTAACTTCAATGCTGTGATTTGTACTGCTGGAAACTGAAGAAACTTTCATATTTTCCTTTCTTCCATTGCCTGAAGCATGCTTCTGTGTTTGGCTATCTGAATAACTAGTACTAGGACCAAGATCATTGCTGAGACAACCATTACAGGAATTGGAACTGCTTACAGCAGAAGTTGATTCGTGCTTTGCTTTCTTCCTTATAAAGCTCTTGTTCCTAAAGACTGGCTTGATCAGACGTGGAGTTTCACAAACAGATTTCACCTTACCAGCAGCACCAGAAACAGAAAGAGAAGATTCAGCATGCAACTTGCCCTTTGGCTCCATATGAGGCACAGGATTTTCAACATAAACCTGGATTGAGGAACAACCAATCTCCAGGGCTTCCTCAGCAGCATGATTAATAGAGGAAGAATCTATAGAATTTAGTTTTTTAAGTTCTGCTTTTGATACTTCACTTTCAGACTCCAAGACCAAAGGAACAATCTGATCTGGGGATGATAATCTGGTGATCATTGCCTTTTCTGTTGTTGCATTATCTAAAGGACGGGAATTTTGGTTGAGAACCTCATTGTTTGGCACTTGCAAAGATTCAGTCATCTTGTCAGAAGAATTGGACATAATTTTTTCAGGAACAAGGGAGATTTCCACTAAATTCCCTTTACCTTTATTTAGGGGAATACCAGATCCATTTGCTTCAACCACTACTGCCCTGTACAACTTTTTAATGGTTCCTGCTTCTGAGACCCCTGAAGAACCTGCTGGCTTTGATAATCTTTTCTTCATAGCAGCCATCTCTGATGCCTGAGAGATGCACAACCCTCTAAGTGCCTGCTTCAAACTCACAGGTTCAGAAATTCCAATCCCTGAAGCTTGAGAAGAACCAACTCTAACTGGTCTTTTCATTGCACTCTTTCGCAAGGCATCTCTACCAATTTCACTTGAGAAACCAGAAACCCTTGAAGATGTCCTAATGTCGATTGCTTCAAATAGACGATTAATATCATCCTCTATGGAATACTTATTTCCTGATTTTGGCATATATTGGTGATTCTTAGCATACTCTGCCATTTTCAATTCAGCATCTAATTCATCAGTACATTCAACAATTTCAGAAGTACTAGGTACAGAATCCATCTTTTCTGCGATTCAACTCAAAGACTACACGAGAGAACTACGCCTTATGCAAACTTGCTCTATAACCCATTTCTGAATATGTATTTCGAAGATAGATTAGAACTGAGCAACAAGACAACCTCACGTATACCTCAAGATTACCTAGGATCATAATGGTTCTCAGATTTGAATGGCCAGTCAAACAACGCTTTTTTAATTTCAAAACACAGTTCAAATTCTACAACAATCACAAAGTTCCATAGAAATAGAAGCCACGAAAAAAAAAACAATCACCGATGTAGCACGATCCTGCACAATTCCATGAAGGGACGTGAATAATCCAACAGTCATTCCCTTCTGCAACCAAAAACAACTAACGAAACGACTACACTTCATCAAACAAATTATGCCATAAGTACTATCAAAGTTCTTTATTTTTTTCAAAATTAAAGAAGCGTAACACTACCGAAACTGTAGAATACATTAAAGCCACACAACAACTGCCTTTATATCAAGAATTGAATTTCATTGAAAGCTTATCCATAACAAACTCTTAACTTTGAGTTTCAACTGAAATCTCATGGCCACATCAAGGCTTTTGATTAATGAACGCAACCAACCACCACGTGCAAAACTTTACCGAATCATGCAACTTTACCTCCTCTCAAAAACAAACAGACCAGCAAGAGCAATAAAAACCAAGATGCAAAACTCTAAAAGTACAAAGATTTTTTTTTTTTTTTCATAGCAGAAGAATTTGAATCAAAAAGTAAAGCACAGTAACAGTTAAAACTCAAAAAAAAAAAAAAGGAACAGTTCAAAAGATTAAAAATTAAAACATAGAATGATTAAAAGGGTACCTCTGAACCTAGGAAATACGTAGAACCCAAGAAAGGGTTAGCTTTGAAGATACCGACCAAAAAGAAAAGGAGAAAAGGAGAAAAGGAAGAAAATTTGGGCAGGTCAAGAAGATAAAAGGGTATAATTAGGGTTGGGAAAGAGGAGGGAAAAAGAGAGGAAAGAAGAGAGAATTGTGAATTGAGTGAATGAAGAGAGAGGGAAAAAGAAAGGAAAAGTTAGATATGCAAATCATGAGAACTTTCACCTTGTTCTAACAACTAGCGCTGCTTCTCTACTGTTTCTTTTTCTCTGTAATGGCGGAAAAAACTCTTCGATTTTATTTATTATATTACTGTTATAAAAGGAAAGGGTATTATACGTTAAACAAAGTCTCTACTTGGAAAAAAAAGTGTGATAGGAACAATCCAAATGCTGAATATTGAGAAAAAAAAAAAAAAGGAAAAAAACAGTGATAATGAATTCCCATTGCAAGCCAAACATCAAATCAATAATACGAAAAAACATTGTGCATGAAATCTGAAATGTACAAGCTCATATTGAAGATACAAATGGGTTTTGTTTGGCGCTGTCTCTTTGATGCAGAAGAAGCATGATTGTCTCCTAAGGGCTAAGAGACAAGAACGTCAAAAAAAATGAAAAATCAATCAAACACGCTCTCATCGTCCTTTGAACAATGGATAGTCAAAACTTCTTCAAAGTAATCATTCATTGGAAATTCATATGCTATCAAGTTAGTACTATTTGCCCCAAGCTTCCTTATTTTGTTCATTTTATTTTTTTGAACAAAAACTCGAAGTGATAAGTTGTTTTAACTTTCTGAATAGTTTAGGTATTGAAAATTACTAATAACGAAATAGATGAAATATTTAATTATATCCTTACAAATTGAATCAACTTGTCATCATTTTGATGAAACAGATAGATAATTTTATTGGAGAAGATGTTTGGTTGCCATTCCTATCCTAGAGCTGTGGGTCATTTCCCATCTAACAAGGGTAACTACTGCCCTGACCATTTAGGTGAATGGTTGACAAATTAAAATTTTCATTCAAAAGAGGATGAAGTTTTTGTTAAGTGTCCCTCAACAGCAAAATGTCATGTGTTGGATTCATTTTGAAAGAATCTTTCCTTGTATAAAATTGATCGGAATAATATGTAACAAAAATTCATGCGAATCAATAAACTTGAAAACTGTGTATGGGGCAAATTTTGAAAGTTTTTAAGACCCTGCTTAAGGGATAACTTGAATTGCGACTTGGCCCTTGGGTTTTGGATACGAGAGAGGCACCCAAAACAAGGCCCTTCCCGCGTGGTCCTTGATCCATTCGATGAACCCTGAAGGGCCCATAAAGGCTTGGGTTTTTACATATATATACAAAGGCAGCATGTTGATACTCATAATTAAAATCAAGAAATGAGGGGGATATGATAACTATTAGTTATCAGTTGGTTAAGAATAAGCATATGATTCTACGATACGAAGATTATCTGTTGATTTTTTTTTTATATACGAAATTAGCCAGTAACCTTAGATACCCTCCTCATTTGTCATTAGATTTAGATTCTTTTTAGTGCCTCGACTTCAAAATCAACTATTTTAACATTTCACAGTTAAGTTCTCCTTTCCCCACCACTTTTCAAAGTCTTATATTATATTTATAAACTAAAAGTTGAAGGACAATACACTTTACAATGAAAATGATTCAATTATGATCTTTTTAATTTAGTTCAGTTAATTTATTTATATCACTTTTAAAAAGTGATAGCTAATAAGTTTTATATTAAAATTCAAACATTTGTAACTATTTTTTTTAATTCCTAATATGTGTTCATATTTGAAAAAAAAAATTGAAGGAAATATTGCTTTAGATATATATATATATATATATGTAATATAATATAATATAATTGCTTTTACTTGTTAAAGTCATGTTGTTTTAACCATCATTATTGAACTTTGACGGATGAAGCAAACAAAAGATTTTTGTTGATGGGCGGCAATTTATTTAAAGAGTGGTTCAAATTTTTCGTTTTTGTCATCTAATTTACGTCCTATATTCTAACATCGCGTGATGATTACTTCCAAGGTAAAGAAGTTTGATAGACGCATCCGAAAATCTATTGAAAAAAGTTGAATTAATTCTTATAGATAGGGAGACTGAATTGACGCATATGTTTGGAAAGAAAACACTTTGGATCGATCATGCTTTTAAACGATGAAGATCATAAGTTCAAACGTTTACCAACAACATATTAATCAGCAGTAAAAATACTAGTGGTACCAATCACATGCATGTTGAACTTGAACGTTCCTTCTTCATGGAATTGCTTTCATTTTAATGGAATTCAATGAAAGCATAATTTATTTAAATTTTACGTGCCATGACAGTACATAAGATGGAAGGATCCTTTCGGGTTTATATATATACATGATTTTTTTCCTTATTATTGGTTTATTACTAGTAACGATCCATACATTAAATCCAATTTTACTTATCATGTGTCATTTTCATTTACAAACATGAATGAAAATAACAGGAAAAACGTCTATTATAAATGCAGGAAAAATATTCCAGTGGATAAGATAAGCCGAGCAGATGAAATCAAATTGCACTAATTAAATTAGACATTGACTATTGAAGCTTTTCAATCCACAACTGAGCTTTTCGTCCTGGTATATTTGTATACATCGCTTTTGATCTGAACCATATATAATCAAGGTTGGTTGGGTTGTTGGTGGTGTGAATCAGGTGTATCTGTTGCCTGTTGCTTAATTCCCAATAAAATAAAGGTCAAATCCTATTTTGGTTTGGATATCCCACAACCACACCCCCCCCCCCCCCAAAAAAAAAAAAAAACCCTAAAAATAGGGATACCTATTCAATTAAGCTTCACGGATGCACCCAATCACGAGAATTCGGAACATAAATCGAGCATTAATTTCATCCCTTCTTGATTTTCTTTCTTTCGTCCTTTATTCCTTATTTTCGGGGATCAAACCAAAAAAAAAAAAAGTTTATAACTCTCAAAAATAAAAAAAAATCTAATATACAATTTATTTTAGTTATTAAAGCCTAGAATTGACAATAACCTATTTATTTATTTGATCTGCAAACGGTCCTTTAAAGAGGGCCCCCATTTCCATAGCAGGCAAAGAATCAACATCCCACCATCATCTGGGCCTTTTATTAACCCAAGCCCAAACCCGACCCATCAGCCCTTCAAATATCAAGTACAGTTCACTCTCTCCCTCACTCGCCCCATTTCTCTCCCCCTCTCCCTTCTTTTCTCTCTCGCTGTCAACAATGGAGCCGTGGCTTGACGACTTGGCCGACGATCTCCAAAGCCTAAGCTTCACCTCCACTTCCACCGCCACTATAAACCGCAGCACCAGCTCAGGCTCCGCCTCCAACTCTGGCTCTTCCTCTCTCGCTCCTTCCGCTCACGGCTCCTTCTCTTCAAATCCCCTCCGTTCCTGCTCTCTCTCCCTCGCCGACCTCTGCTTCTCCCTCCGCCTCGGCTCCGGCGATATAGGCTCCGTCTACTTAGCCGAACTAAAGTCTCAACCCTCACGTCCCGACACCAATGCCGCCACCGCAAACAAAAACAACAACAAAAGTGAAGCCGTTTTTGCAGCGAAAGTGATGGACAAGAAAGAGCTAGCGTCGAGGAGTAAAGAAGGGAGAGCGAGGACTGAGTTGGAAATACTCGAATTGTTGGACCATCCTTTTCTGCCCTCGCTTTACGCCGCTATCGATTCCCCTAAATGGCTCTGTTTATTAACGGAGTTTTGTCCGGGTGGCGATCTTCACGTCCTTCGTCAACGTCAGCCTCTCAAACGTTTCCCCGAATCCGCCGTAAGGTACATCTTCTCCGTGATTCCTTAACGTCTTTTTTATTTTCGTTTTTCTTTTTGGATATTTGAGAGTAATGGATCGGGAGAAGAATTGGTGAGTCAGGAGGAAAGAGTGGGGCCCAGTTGATAGTTTCTCGCTGTAAATCGGATCAGATTCATTTCGTTATTTTGGTTATGATTGACGGCAGATCCGGGTTGGGTTGGGTAGGCTATTAGGGTCAAAACGTGTTAGAGGTTTGACTTTTATAGACCGAACAGTTATGGACTCTTCCATCGCATCAATGCCACACCGTTTTCATTTTTGGGTACAAAGGGCCAATTATCCAAACGGTGAAATTTTAGAAGTAGTTGAGAAAGCCAGCTTAATCACACGGCAGAGTCATATGATATGATCCCATCATTTACTATTTTGTTACATTAATTAATCATTAAATCTTGTACTAAGTACTACTATGATTATTTATTTGGGGCTTAACTTAGGTACATATCTTTAAGATTATTAATAACTGTTACCTTGATTCGCATGTGTAATATATTATTATGAAATTACTAATTTCGTTTATAAAAATTTAAAAATTTTGAAAAATAAAAGAAAAAAGAAGTTATATCCCTGGTAGTTATGTTAAAGGATTAATATGAGAAATTAATGAGAATAGGATTAGCACTAGCGCAACTTGTGGATCTTATAGAATTATTATATATCATTAATACGTGCTTCATGATCAATTTTGTACTAAGCAGATTCTCTTTCGGCACCTGTGTTTGTGGTACTGGCAGTGATAGTGAGTAGTGAGGCCATACATGCATGTCTTTTAGTTGTGATCAACAGGATTTTTTTTTTTTGACCCAGGAAATCTGGATCAAGTAATGTGAATTTCCTTTTCTTTGCTGGTTTTCTGGGATTTGTTATGTAAGTTTAAGCTTTGATACGGTAGACCCTGTTTCTTCTTTTTTCTTTTTATATTGCTCTCTGGCCCTCCCCTCGTTAGTCTCATGTCTGTCTCACCTAGCCGTTCAATACTAGTAATGAATTTACGATGATGATAAGAGATGTTTATACAACCGCTATCTTTTTAACTCAACCTGCAAAGGATTTTGTATTTCAGCAAATGAGGTTAAAGAGAAGACAACAAATCTTTCTGCGTTGATAATGAGTTGTTAGCAAATATTTCATCATGCATTATACAATATTACATGATTTGATAATGAATAATTTTTATATTTGTACTTTAATCATATTTTCCATCCATGTCCTATTACTTTCTTTTTTTCTCTAGTAGATGCATTGAAAATTATTATTTGATTTTTCACGCTTGCTATATTTTTATCAGTATTCCACTGTAAATCAATCAGATTCGGACATGTTTTATACTCTTTGAACATTATATCATTCTAAGACACACAAAATACCAGGGAACATGTAGGAAGAGAACAATGGGAATGTGCTGCATTATAAGGACACAAGTTATGGAAACTTTTGATTGCTTTACTTCTCCCACTTGTCATTTGAAGATTTTTCCTCGTTACATTTATCTGGTGCATGAAAAGATTCTGAGGGCAGCTAGAAAAAGGGTCAAGTAGGTCCCTTAAAGTATGCATAATGTAGTAGAGGTAGAAGCAAGATAATTTCTTGTCTTGGTTTAGCGTGTAAATCAATTTTAAATCTGCAGTGGATTAATGATAATGGTAGTAGGTCCTTGTGTCCCTTGGCTAATCTGATCAAAAAGTACATGACACTCTGAGTATCTCAATTATTTTCTTGTCTATACAATTTGTTATCGATAAAGGAAAAGAAAAGGTTATATCTCTTTTATCTCCAAGTACCCGTGGAACCTGGCTGGAGATTGTATTATTGTGAAGTTGTTGGTCTTAATTAACCTAGTAAGATAATAATGAAACTGATTAAAATTATAGGTAAGGTAGTTGATTGCTTTGTTGGTTGGTTGCAATTTGTAATACAAGTTCTTATTATTGGTTTCTGCAGGTTCTATGCATCGGAGGTGGTGGTAGCTCTAGAGTACCTTCATATGTTGGGGATTGTTTATCGTGATCTGAAGCCTGAAAATGTGCTTGTTCGATCAGATGGTCACATAATGCTCACGGATTTTGACCTCTCGTTAAAATGCGATGATTCTACATCAACACCCCAGATTATTTCTGATAAAAAACCACCTGTTCCAGCTCCACAAAGCGACTATCCTATTGATCCTCCTCCTTTCACATCCTCTTCATGCATTATTCCAAGTTGTATCGTACCTGCTGTGTCATGTTTCCACCCAAAACGCAAACGCAAAAAGAAGACTGGCCACCGCAGTGGACCTGAGTTTGTGGCCGAGCCCATTGATGTTCGGTCCATGTCTTTTGTTGGTACCCATGAGTATTTGGCATCGGAAATTGTGTCCGGTGACGGCCATGGTAGTCCTGTGGATTGGTGGACACTGGGGATCTTTATGTATGAACTTTTTTATGGGGTAACACCATTTAAGGGCGTGGACCATGAGCTAACCTTAGCTAACATTGTGGCTCGAGCCCTTGAATTCCCCAAAGAACCCGCCGTTCCCGCAGCGGCTAAGGATCTTATTTCCCAGCTATTGGTCAAGGATCCTGGAAGGCGGTTAGGGTCCACAATGGGTGCATCAGCCATCAAGCACCATCCATTCTTCCAAGGGGTCAACTGGGCATTGCTAAGATGTACATCCCCACCATATGTACCTCCCCCATTTATTAGTAAAGAATTCGTATCAGATGAAAGCTGTCCAGAGACCCTAGTGGACTATTATTAATTAGGTGAAGTTAAGGAATGATCAGTAAATAAGAAAATTTGAAGAATCGCTAGAGCATTCATGTATATAAATGGCGTTTAAAACCATCCTCTTGGCAATCACGTTCCCAACTGCTGACGCCGCCATCTGGGGCCATGGCCATCTTTTAGTCTGTTACATATATTTACATATTTCATGGCAGGCAGCACATAGATTGTATGCATGCAGATATAGTATCTATTAATATAAACCTAATTTGAGGTTATCTAAGTAGAGGTCAATACCGTAGCATTGGATCCCGACAATTCATATGTAAACAATGATCAATATTGACTTGGGGACGGGAAAGCCGGTGGCGCCACGTGATAGGTTGTCCGCCGATCACGGAGTGGCCGGAGAATGGGCATAACCATAAGGGAAGGAAATTACTGCTTTTGTTTGTTTGTGTGTGTTTTGGTTGTGAAAGATCATGCCCCCATGCGATTTATTCACTCCTTTAGGGAAAATGTGGGGCTTTGCCACGACTTTACCCTTTTCCTGAAAGGAGAAAATTAGATGGGCTCACATTATTCCTGTGTACTTCCATTATGATGCCATCAAAATTTAACTACACTCTCTTTCTTGGATCTCTAGAGTCTAAAAACTACACATTTGTTAAAATAAAAGTGCACGTAGCATGTCAAAACCATATGGGTCCAATCACTTCTAAATATGGGCTTAGTACTGAATTCGTTGGGCTAAGATTTTGGCATAGCGGCCCATATCTTTCTTCTTATTCGTTTTCACCTCTTTTTCTACTGGAAAGTGAGGAAAGCTTAACAAACAAAATATCCTTTGGTTCCATTCACAATAATAACCATAAGAAAGTATAATAATAAAAAAAAGCGCATAAAAATGAGGAGAGCTATGTTCTAATATTTGAGAGACGACACATCAAAAACATTTTTAAAGTTTATCCAATGATGATTTAGTTTGGAACATCTATTAGGACAGGGGACCAAGGGAACTCCTTTATAACCAATTAATTCATGTCCTCCTACAAGTTAAAAAGATTATAATCAGCATGTTAATTACTATAAATTAAATCTTTATTCAAATAATGTCAAAAATACTTTTAAGGTTTGAAAATAGTTCTCTGAATTTTGAGGTTGTTGTCACTAACCATCTGACAGTGTGCAGGTTGCAGAAGAATAATTGTGGTTTTCAATCTGACTAGTAAATTTGCATTCTGCCTTCATATTTTATGTTGGAAAATTCAATGAATGCTTTTATTAATGCGTGTGATGCAGGAACTTTTTGCGTCTCTCAACATTCAACCTTCAACAATTCGTAGGAATCACAACTTTAATAAATTCTATCTTTCATGGCACAAATAATAGGGATAACTGCAAGATGATTGCTTTTTCAACATGCAAATGACAAAAATCCATTAAAAATCTCAATTATTGTTGAAATTTGAAAATACTGAATAGAATTTTCTTTTTAATATAAGCATAAGGTATAACATTTTTTTTTACAAGAGGGAACATTAGGGTCGGAACTTAAGATTTTTACTTTAATCTCATTTCTTTTTTTTTTTTATGTTTTTTAATTTCTAAGATTTTATGAATCTATAACCTTGAAGAGTTTACCCAAGATACATGTCTTCTTGGCACATCACTCCACTTTTAGGGTTAAAGCTAAGTTGAAGAGACATACATAAAATAGAGTATGAATGAAGATGCTTTAACGATTAATTCAAACCTGAGACATGGAGTTACATAAGAGAAGAGTAGAAAGAGGGTTCGTCCTAATCTCACTAACAATGGACAACTTTGGCTTACCACACTTTGATTTCTAATGGACATTTTCAAACGTAAAGAAAATCCTTTCTCCTTTTAGGTGAGGTCCAAGTTCTCATCCTTAGAAGTCAAGCTTTGAATGGCAAAAAAATGTAAAGAGATCGAAACACCCATTTTCAACTTGACTTATCCAACCAGCTTCATTTTCACCATATATATAATTGGAAAAAAAAATGGCTTACCACCTTACACATTCGTTCCTATCATCATCTTTTGCTTTTACATACCTTAAAATTTTTCTATATAGCTATTCTCTTTGACCATATATATTCAAATTAAAAAAAATGGGTAGTATTTCTCTTTGTTCAAAATTGTTCCTTCTTACCTTTTTGTGCAAATGTAAAACCCTCCAAAATAATAACCTTTTTTCATTTGTTTCAAGCTCTCTTTCTTTATTTTGTTCGCCGCACTTTTTTTTTGTTTTTGTTTCACCTAATCGAGTAAATTGGTATCAACAAATGTACTGTAAAATATAGAACAAAATTATATAGAAGATTCTATGATTTTTTGTTCCACAATTCTTTTGTTATGTCCTTGATCTTAAAAGATAACAAAAAAAAACATGCCACCCTATATTTTAGTTTTTTAGTCTACAATTATGTACCTTAAATGGTTAATTCTTTAGTATTATCTTTAAAAAAAGACGGTGATTTAACTACATAAAATTTTTTTTCTCTTTTATTCTAAGAAAACAATGGGATTATCTTGCCTCAATTCCTTTCTGAACTTAAGTTTTTCATTTTCCATAGCCTATAAAACAAATATATATATATATATATATATATGGGTTTCTATTTCTAGCCCTAGCTTGTTCTACAAGGAAAGATTTAAGGCGCGTGGTATCATACATAGAGAGAGGCATGTGGTTTTTGTTTCTCACGTCTTATCTGTCATTTTTTATTTGTAACTGTTGTGAGTAGCTCTCACTGCCAAACCAGGAGACACTGCCAGTTTAGATTTCATTAGTATCATACATTATTACATTTATATATGTAGGATTCTCTGTTTTGTTCCACAACTCTCTGACAAATGGTGAAAAAGCTTGAGAGAGATTGAGACTATCACATTAATCTTTTCAGAAAGAAACGTTTACCATTCTCTTAATCTCTCTGCAAAATAGGAAAAGGAAGAAGAAGAAGAAGAAATGGTGGGGACTACTCTTTCCCAACAGCTCAGGAATTACATTCAGACCATGCATGATCAGGTTTTCCTTTTTTTTTTTTCCGTTTTTGCTGCTAATGATTAACTTATTCGAAAAATCTTCACTTTTTTTATTTGATTTTTTTTGGTGTAATGGTTCCTTCTAGGGCATACTTGACCATCACTTCGATCATGTGAAATCGTTACAAAATGAAGAAAATCCTCAGTTTGTTATGGAAGTGATCTCAATGTTCTCCCACGATGCTGAAATTGGCATTTCTCAAGCCACTGAATTTCTGTATGTTTGTTTTTTTTTTTTTTACAATTGATTTTTATATCTATATATATATATACACACACACACACACACGTATTTGATCAATATATAACAATGAACTGCAGGAACTGTGTTGTCGACTTTGCCAAGGTTATATGCTTTGTTCACCAGCTCAAAGGCAGTAGCTCAAGGTAGATATATCTATATTATTTTAGTTACTATATATTATTATATATTATCATGGCATTAACAGGCTTAACTGCATCCTAAAGGAATAAACATTTTACATGTGTCTATAGTTCATGATTGATATATATATATATATATATATATTATATGAGGTATAAATAACAATGATATTATTCATAATCAAACATACCTCGATCTTTATATTGACGTATGAACGCCAGATGTAGTAAATTTTCAAATGCAATCACTATAACTATTATACATATATATTCCAATTTGGTCGTGTTTGTGCATGAAAAATTTAATTATACGTTTAGAATATCCAAACAGAATTGATCAGATAAAATACACGGCAAGTTATTCAAATAAAAAACATTTGGAAATAAAATTTTATTTAAAAACTTTAAACACGCGCTATAAACATTATACGTATCATTTAAAATTTGTTTGTTTTTATACTTTTTGTCTCTTCTTTTATATATATATATATATAATTAAACTTTGAACTTCGTTACGGGGTCAATAGCTTCAATATTTGTTGATTACTCATAATAACAAATTAAGGTTAATAATGGTCATGATCTACACTTTTCCATATGAACACTTAAAATTTCATCATGTCTAATATAAACAAAATAAAAAAAGCAACTTATATTTTCCATTTCTTCATTTTTTTCTGCCTAGATAAAAAAAAATTCATTTCCATTTCTATCTTATAAATGCATATAATATACATGTTACGTTTACAAATATCTCAGCATTGGTGGTCAGAGGATGGCCATGGCTTGTCGCGAGCTGCGACATGCCTGTGATATCAGGAGCAAGGAGAGGTAGGAATTACCAATAATCTTTTTTTTTTTCCTTCCCGGTCAACGTTTCTTAAATTAATATTTGCGCTATGTGTTTTAGGTGCCTTGAAATCTTTGGGAGGTTGAAACAGGAGTACAATACTTTGCATGAATGCCTCAACACCATATCCCAGGTAATGCCTAATTGTGATGTTGAATTTGGTAATTAATAAAACTTTATAATAACGTTGACTACCTACGAAGGGAAACGATCCCAGGTTATGCCTAATTATGATGTTGAATTTGGTAATTAATTACTACTACTTTTTTATCACCAAGGGGACCGATCTTTTTCATTCTTACTTTTTTCTTTTGGAAAAAAAATGCCATAACTTAAGATAAAAAAAAGATTGCAAATGTTAGGATTTGAATTTTAAATTTGTTAAATATCAAATATTAAAAGTAACTGTATGAATTAACTAGGTTAAACCTTGATTTCTTCTTTTTTTATTTTTATTCTTTTAACAATAATACTTTTGACCAAATTATGGTATTTGGCTTAGAAACTATATGAGATAATGAGGATTTAAGTTTGTTGGTTTAATTAGGTGGTGAGCTTTTGGATTAGGGTTAAAAAGCATCTGTCAACGAACATACAAATAATAAAAAAAAAAAAAATCATCCGAGGGAATATGTGAATTAGTTGCTTAGTTGCCAAGTAAGAGAATATGTATCCTCGTCCTAACAATGGTGTGATTTTTTTTTTCCTTTTTCACAGATGGAGAGAACCATCATCGCCAATGAGACTAGACGCCGCCAACCATAGCAAGCCTGCTTTGTGGTTGCAGCTTTAGCCTTCAGGTTCCTCTAAAAGTCGGAAATGGTGTCTGTTTAAGACTGCTTTGATGACTTTGTCCTCTGCTTTGTGTTAACAATATCTGGTAATGTGTTTGCTCTTTGCGGGTCGCTTTTGTGTGCTCTGTGGTACCCAATAATAAATTAGATGTCCTTTTTGTCGTGTCTAAACCATAAAATTAGCTTGTGATACCCAATCCACCTCTATCGCGATTAGAAGTGACTTTCTATGTCTCCTTTTCATCCGGATGACCTATAGTCAAAGCATTGGTTATAGTCTTAAAGGCGATTAGTGATGAGTGATAAAGGTCAAATCCAACATTTTGTTGAATATATAGATATCGAAAATTGCTATTTGTCCAAATCCCCAAGTCGGCGCCTCACTCTACAATCTTAGGTTTGCCGACGTTGATTATCTGATACCAGTGAAGAAAGATACAGGCGAAGGAGTGAAGACACCTACAGGAAGCGGCAAACTTCCCAATGCCATCAAATCATGCATTATCTAATGCTTGAGCGTGTGCTGCCGTTTACAGAATTATGTTCCAAGAGCGGTTAGATATCATTTGGATGCAACGGAAACAAATCTAACACCGAGCAATACTTGTTGACTTTGAATTTTGGACCTAGCAACAAAAATTTTGTGCTCTGTGAAAGAAGAATTACTTCAACCCGGCATGCGTAACAACTAGACAGTGGGTTTGCTGTCTCATGACCAAATGCGGTCAGAATCTAGCATGGTTCTGCAAAACTGACTAAAACATGACAATATAGCATGCACAACTGATTTTAGACCGATAAATATGGATCCACAAAACTAGCAGCCACTTTTCTGCAGTTTGATATTATTTCTGGTGATTCATAAACCCCGAAACTTTTTGCAAGAATAAAATGAAAGTACAATCTATAGAGGAACCAAACCAGCTCCATGCAACTGATTAAGATTGTGTAACTTGATGCTTGAAAGAGCAGCTTTGCTTAAGCCGTAACCACAGAATAAAAGTGAAGAAAAGCAGCAGAAAGAATCCTCAAAATCATAGGCTTAATGACACCATGCAATCATACACATATCTCAGCAATTCCCAGGTATCCATAGAGAAGAGAACAGAATTTCACAGTTAATCCTGGCATGAAATCTCTCAAGCCTAGAATTCGTTTGGGAGTTAAGCCTGATAAAATACCATAGATTCATTCAGATTCAGTCACCGAAGTGTATGGCCGGAAATATTAAGTATTCAGCAAACTCAAACCAAAAATTCACAATTATAACTCAAATTGTTAATATTTTTAACTACATTTTCCAAACAGAACTTAAAGTTTCAAGAAGAAGTAGAAACCATGTTCAACTACAGAGTAAAGAACATATAAAACCTTATAACACTCAAAGAAAAGCACCAACTGCATGTAAGAATCTTTGATATTTGCACTACTCGCTTAGTCGAAGAGGCTGAAACCCATATCCTGCATCAAAAGGAAATTATGTTAGTGAAGAACACACCAATAAAGAAATCAGTACAAGTCAACTTCGGTGTAAAAATGATTACATCATCGGACTCTTCCTTCTCCTCGACCTTCTCCTCTTTCTTGATCTCAGCAGCAGGTGCAGCACCAGCGCCACCTCCACCAGCTGCAGGAGCAGAAACGGCAACAGCACCACCACCAGAAGGAACTGAAGCCAACTTTTCCCTTCCAGATGCAATTAGCTCGGTGATGTCTTTGCCCTTGACTTCGGACAAAAGCAACTCTATCCTGTCATCATCGGCCTCAGCTCCAACTGTAGTATATTAAAACGTCAATCCCACATCGGGAAAACCAAATAATTTCCCATATTTAGTAAATTCTTAAATCACCATGGCAGATATTTGATGAAATAAGAGAGAAAATTTACCTGATCCGAGAATATCCTTCAAATTATTGGCGGAAGGGCTAGGGTTCCCTCCCAATACAGCCAGTAAGTAGGCGGCGATCACCTTCATTTTTACTCGATCAAGAAATATTAGAGAGCGAGAAGGAAAGCAGCTGCCGCAGAGGATGATAACTGATAAGGGTTAATGTTGCAGCTAGGGTTATTGTTTTTGGTTGGAGGCCTTCTACTTTCAATCGTGGCCGTTCATTTTAAATAAGAAAGCCCAAAGTATTAATGCGAAGCCCATGGGTCTTAGGCATTTAGGTCATTTAGTTTCTCACCAAAAGCGCGGGAAAATGCTTTATCCTTCCGCCTTCTTTGTTGGCGTTACAAAACCCTCTCTGTATCTGTCTTGAAATAAGAAAAGGGAAGAGAGGGAAAATTAAAAAAAAAAAAAAATCCTCTTTCTGGTATCTAGCTTGGAATCGGTTACTCGCGAATTCTATAACTCCACCGTACAAAATGAATGGAGGAGATAACCGACGGCGAGATCACCGAGACCTTCGGAGCTCGAAGAAGCAGAAGAAGCTGATCCGCAGCGCGGAAGAGGAGCTTGAGTCAAAGCTCGGCTTTGATCTCTTTACCGAAGGCGAAAAACGTCTCGGATGGTTACTTACTTTCGCTTCGGTAAGACAATCTCTTCATCATATCCAACAGTTAAATAAATAGATACAAACACTTTATAGATCTTGCTTATAAGAAAAGATCTCATAATTTTAAATCTGCAGTCATCTTTGGAGGATGAGGATACAGGAAAAGTATATAGCTGCATAGATCTTTATTTTGTTTCTCAGGTGAAAATGAAACTTCTGGTTTGTTGATTAAATTCATTTTGAAATTTGTTTCTTTTTTGTTGAGAAATTATTCATTTTTTTAAATTTTAAATTGAATGTAGGATGGTTCTTGTTTTAAGTCAAAGTTCAAATTTCGTCCTTACTTTTACGCGGCTGCGAAGGTGCATTTTCTATATATATTTTTTCTCTTTTGTACTGTTGTTTTTATATTAACTATTAAGTAGATGCTAATTCTGTGATGATAATGATGAGTGATTGTGTTCAACAGGGCAAAACGGAAATGGATGTCGAAGCCTATTTGAGACGACGATATGAAAGTCAAATTGCAGAGATTGAAATCGTGGAGAAGGAAGATCTTGATCTTGTGAGTTATTCTATCATCCATATCTTTGAAATTAACTTCATAAATAAAACTAGTCCTTAATGTTGAAATCATAGTTTTAATAATGTCTGAGCAATATATTTGACAAAGGGGCATTTGGTTCTGTGGTGTTTTGATTTGTAGTTGGTTAATCTTAATAGATTATCTCATTTTTTGGTCTAGTTGTGGTTAGAGTTTAATGAAGGAAGCATCGGATGCCCTGGCCTTTTTGATTACTCTGCTCAAAGTTTCCTCTTGTTGAGTTAATGTTGTAATTGTTGTTTTTATTTGGTGTAAGCAGATTGCTAATATATTGTTTAATTCTTTACCATAATTCAAATTTTTATTTATATAATTGACATATTAATACCTCAATATGCTTTTACCAATGGTTTATTTTATGGTATCTTATCCTAGTTATTTGAATTACCAAATATTTTGCGAATCAATATGTTTTTTCATGCCTGACTTGGATAGCTTTCATTACTTGTATTTCTCCAAACAAATGAGTTCTGATTGCTTCATATGCTTATGGACAGAAAAACCATTTGTCTGGTCTACACAAACGTTATTTAAAAATATCTTTTGATACTGTTCAACAATTGATGGATGTGAAGAAAGATCTAGTGCATGTTGTTGAAAGAAACCAGACAAAATCTGATGCTGCTGAAGCATATGAGTCAATATTAATGGGGAAAAGGTAAGGTACTATTGTCCACTGGCAAAGTTGAGCTTGACTTTTTGTGTAGGTCTATTCATTAATGGAACAATACCTATTTCTCTTTCAACAGCTCGTATTTTTTGCATTCCATTCACCAAGTATTTATTAGAATGGTAATTCCATGCATGTTTTGATAGCATAATGGTGCTTGCCTTGCAGAGAACAAAGACCACTAGATCTTTTAGATTATCTAGTTGATCTCCGTGAATATGATGTTCCCTACCATGTTCGCTTTGCCATTGACAATGGTAATTTCTTTCTTTATTCTTCGGATCTTGGAACATGTTCTTGTTAGTAATAAATTATTTTCCATAGTTAGAATTGTCTTTATGCCCTTTCTTACTCTGAGGATTTCATGGAACTCAGATGTCAGATGTGGGCAGTGGTATGATGTCAGTGTATCTAGTACTGGAGTCATGCTAGAGGAGAGGACTGATCTTCTGCAACGTGCTGAAGTACGTGTCTGTGCATTTGATATTGAGACGACAAAGCTTCCTTTGAAATTTCCAGATGCCGAGTATGATTTAATAATGATGATATCATACATGGTTGATGGACAAGGATACCTGATTATTAACAAAGAGGTATATATGACACATTTTTTTACTTTATTCATTTGTTCAAAGCTCATGGTTCATGATTCTTCTTGTCTGTCATTTGTATGACTTGTTTGTTCTTTGGAGGTCAATATTTGGCTCCAAAGGATTCTCAAGTCATGTTTGTTATATGTTATGCTTAGTTGTTTGTATTCATTGACGAGCTATAGTTAATTGTATGTGTTGAATAGATTTAAATTCCATTGTTGTAGTTTCTGTTAGTTATCCATTGCTTTCCATTTATCCTAGCACCATCTTACACTTTCCAGTTTGTTATCTATTTTTCCTCTAGTTGTAACCTTATTGAATGTGTTTCTAGAAATAGTATTTTCACCAAGCTTTTCTTTTCAACCAAGGACCTGATTTTTCACTTGTCCTCAGTGTGTAGGTCAAGACATAGAGGACTTGGAGTACACTCCTAAGCTAGAATTTCAAGGGCTTTTCGAAGTCACAAATGTGAAAAATGAGGTAGCAGAAGTTTCATACATTCTTCTGATGGGGGTTTTATGATGCTGCTGCTCATTTTCCTCGACTTTATTTTGATGTTTCTTGCAGGTAGAACTTCTTCGGCAGTGGTTTACCCACATGCAAGAGGTCAAGCCTGGTATTTTTGTTACATATAATGGTGATTATTTTGACTGGCCATTCATAGAAAGAAGAGCTGCTTATCATGGATTTAAAATGAGTGATGTATGTATACTCTTTTCAGCAGTTCATTTACTCATTTTTAAAGAAAATAAATTTCCCTCTATTTGTTACTTTTTTTTTTCCTTTTTGGTGATTCTTGTAGGAGGTAGGGTTTCAATGTGACAAGAATCAGGGGGAATGTCGAGCCAAATTTGCTTGTCATTTGGATTGTTTTGCTTGGGTCAAACGTGATAGTTATCTTCCTCAGGGGAGCCATGGCCTCAAGGTGCAGACATGTAAATTGAGTTTATTTGTTATATTCAGTCTGTATATATTGGTAATTCTTTTTGTTGAATTGAAGGTACTTATCTATATGTTTCTTAGTTAATGAAAATATCTTCATAAATTTTTTCAAGGAATAAAATGGCTAATGTATAAAAATGAAAGGGTACTCGTAATACCTGCAGCCTCATACTGGTATTGTTATTGGCAGGTAATACATACATTATTTATTCAACCAATAAGTATAATCTCTTTAACTCATGGTTCTTAATGTCCATGCCATAGTGAGATCACAAGGGCAATGCTATGATGTTATGTGCAGCATATCTTGGTTTAGGTCATTGGCTGCATTATTTTCTAAATACAATGAATTTAATGTTTGTATAATTTTTAGTGCTTAAACTTTCACATGATACATTCCGTACATAAAGTAAAGTTATGTTTCATAATTAAGGCAGTTGGATAATTAATTTGTGGCTCACAAAATTAATACTTCTTAGTCATGTGAAGAAACATAATGATTTTCTGAAAGAAAAAGGTATCATTGTTTAGTCTTGTTGGGTAAAAGTCATGGAAATAAAAATTCATGTTCTAGAGTATCACCGAAGAAAATCAACTGCTAGGATCTTTTGTTCTTTGAACAATGAAATGTATATTTATTAGTCATTAGAAAGTTTAATATAGGTAGAATGATTTTAGGTTTGCAATTAAACTTGTTCTTTTATGTTTCATGGCACTTGAGACGGTTACCTTTCTTGTGATCATATGTTAGGCTGTTACAAAGGCAAAGCTGGGTTATGATCCACTGGAGGTGAATCCAGAGGATATGGTTCGATTTGCCAAGGAAAAGCCCCAGGTATAAGTGGCTAAAAAATGCATCTGCAGTTTTCTTTCTTGTTTTGGTTTGTAGAATTGAAGGTGGTTTAGAAGTGATTGGGAAATGTTAAAGAGTAGATAAGTTGTTGTGATAACTTGATTACCATGTGAGTAGAACTTTACAAAAATGACTTTTTTTGCTTGCTACTTTAGTACAAGAGTGACTGTATGGATGATTTGTTCTTGTCAATCTGCTTGAAGTGGTTGTAATACTATAGGGTATTGTAATCATATTGTATGATATATCCTGTCATTCATTAAGTTTTTGGTAATCATCTTTAAGACACAGAAATTTGCCTACACTGCATGTCCTTTCTAGTGTTTTTCTCATTCCATTTTCGGTTTGGATTGCTGACAATATTATGACAGATGATGGCTTCCTATTCTGTTTCTGATGCTGTTGCAACTTATTACTTGTATATGACCTATGTTCATCCCTTTATTTTCTCTCTGGCGACTATTATTCCCATGTCACCTGATGAGGTTTTGCGCAAAGGAAGTGGAACACTTTGTGAAATGCTTCTGATGGTTCAGGTAGTTTTAGCGAACATTTGTGTCGCTTTTTCATTGAGCAAAGGTGTTTTTCTTTTTTCATTTTTTAATATAGTATTGCATTTTCACAGGCTTATAAGGCAAATGTTATCTGCCCTAACAAACACCAATCAGACCCTGAGAAGTTCTATAAGAATCATCTTCTTGAGAGTGAGACCTATATAGGTGGCCATGTGGAATGCCTTGAAAGTGGTGTTTTCAGATCTGATCTTCCAACAAGTTTTAAGCTTGACCCATCTGCCTGTGAGGTAAGTTTATTTATTTATTTTTCACGGGTATTGTATTCTGCTGTTGTTGACCATAGTACCTTTGAATTAGTTGTATATGGGTAGGACCAGGTTTGATGGGTTTATGCAATGATTTTTCTGATTCTCTGGTAACATGGCTTGGCTGAAGTCATCTTTGTTCATCTAGGCATTAAGCCTTTATGGTATCTTATTTGTTGTGTTCTTTTTGCCAACTTTAACATTCATATACCACCTTAGGTGTTGGCAGATTGTATCACTTTGTTTAATTTAATGGTTGTTGCATTTTGATTTATTCAACGGAGTATTCTTCCAAACTATCAAGTGGCTACAAAAGGTTTTTTTTTTTCCTGGCTGAAGGTACTATATATATTGAACTTTTACTATTTAAGTCTATTTAGATTAAGGTTATGCAATTATGTTTTACATAGTTCCTAAGATTTGGAATTGTCTTCTATGACAAGAAATTGGTTGGGATTTTGAAATATTAGTAATTTCAACAGTTTAAGTTATAAGAACACTGAGAAATGCATTTCCTGTAATGTTGTTAACCAATTTGTCATGTGGTGGTTAATACATAATGTCATAAAAGCTTGTAGAAAAGAAAATCATGTTGATATATCATGGATTTTTTTCATACTATTCCCCAGCCTCTAACCAAAATAAAAAAGAGAAGACATCAAAATCTACTTGTTTTCCTTGATGTTCACATTTGTGTTTGACAGAAGTTTTGAAGAAATGAATTTATTTTGAAACTCCAAATGGGTAAGATATATGTCATATAGGTAGAAACATAGTACTCTTATCTTCTGTTTGGAAGAAGTGCTTTTTTCTATCTTTGATGCCACATGCTAAATTTGGTGAATACATTATGTTATCTTTTGACAAAATCTTAGTGTGAATGTGTTAACATAATCTGCACCATTCTTACAAATTTTTAATTGTTATATCCACAAGTATATGGATTCCTAGTACCTGAGATATAAACTTTATGAATGTAATACTAACATTGGTGTACTTTGAATCCAGCAACTTATCAGTAATCTTGATCGAGATTTACAATATGCTATTAGAGTTGAGGGGAAGATGGACTTGGAATCAGTCTCAAATTATGATGAAGTAAAGAATGAAATAATAGAAAAGGTAAAGATATTTTGTTGGTTGAGCCTGAGGTCCATGCTTTCTGATTGATGCCTTGATACTTATGTTGCAACTTCCAACTTATATTTGTCTTAAAATTATTGTTCCCTACAGTTTCTTTGGAGTTAACTTTTATATGTTAGTATTTTCAAAATTGTGTATATATATATATATATTTTCATTTATGATCCTGTATACAGTTTAATTTGGTAAAATGATTAATTTATATTGTATTATATCCAAGAATTCACTATTCTTATTGTAGACATCTTAGCTTTTTCTTTTTTAAATCTTTCTGAAGATTCTAAAGGCTTGCAGTTTATATTTATTATGAATAATATAAATTAGTGAACAAAGTGGGTATCATTTGAGTAAGATGATTTTATTTATCAATTATTTCTTTCTATGCAGCTTGTGAATTTACGAGACAAACCTCTCCGTGAAGAATGCCCTCTCATTTATCATTTAGATGTTGCTGCAATGTACCCAAATATTATTTTGACAAATAGGCTTCAGGTTTGTTAGCGGCAAACTGCTTTTGGTGCATTGTGATGACCATGTCAAAATTTTCATTAATTTTAGTGGTTACTTTCTACTTTCAATTTAGGTAGCATGGAAGGAATTGGGTAGTAGTGCATAAGTATGAGCTATTTGGCTATGGCATTAGAATCTAGACAGCATAGACATGCTGATCTACAGTCTTAAATGTTTGCACTAAACTCTGAGTGCCTAATAAAGTTCCTTTTTTAATACTAGGTGCTTCAGATCTTAGATTTTGTTCTCATTTCTTCTAGAAAAGATCTTTCTCCTTTAGAAATTTCTTGGTAATTAACATGCAATGGGGGTTTTCTTGTTGAATTACAGCCACCATCAATAGTTACAGATGAGGTCTGTACTGCATGTGATTTCAATCGTCCAGATAAGAGTTGCCTCCGGAAACTTGAATGGGTTTGGCGTGGGGAGATATTCATGGCGAAGAAAAGGTTTGCTTCTCACTTGGTGGCTTTCTCTTTATAGAATTAGCAAAATCTAACTGACATCTGTACATGGACATAATGCCCAATGGTTTCAGTGATTATTACCACTTGAAGAAGCAAATTGAGTCTGAATTTTTTGATGGTACTGATAGTCAGTTGTCAAAATCTTTTCTTGACCTGCCTAAACTGGAGCAACAATCCAGGCTGAAAGACCGTTTGAAGAAATATTGTCAGAAGGTAAGGTAAGTGTTGTTTTTAATAAACTTGTTTGCCTGAGTAACAATTCACGTAATGGGCTTTGGTGTCTTCTATAGGTATATAAACGGGTATTGGACAAGCCAGTCACTGAACTTCGAGAAGCAGGGATCTGCATGCGTGAAAACCCTTTTTATGTTGACACAGTTCGCAGGTAAGCGATTTATATTTTCCTATCATACATTTGATGTGCCAAATTTTACCACTAGATAATTATTTCTGTTTCGTTAGTAGTATAATCTATGTTGATATTTAGTGCTTTTTTTTTCTTGGTGACAGATTTCTATCGTTTCTTGTCATGGATAGATGATAATTACTTAAAAGAGCATCTGTAATTATTATTCAGATTTTCTTTGAATTGCATGAAGTTGAGTTATTAAAGCGACCTTAAATAAATTGATTTCTTGCTAATCCTATTTTCTTTTAATCTCATTTAAGCTTTCGAGATAGAAGGTATGAATACAAAGGACTTAATAAAGTTTGGAAGGGGAAGCTGTCTGAAGCCAAGGCTGGTGGAAATCCTATGAAGATCCAAGAAGCACAAGTATGCTAAATGTTCTTCAATTTGTAATAATTGAATTAATTTCTTATGATTTTTCCTTCTCAATATTTTCAGGACATGGTAGTGCTTTATGATTCCTTACAACTTGCCCATAAGTGTATTCTGAACTCGTTCTATGGATATGTCATGCGCAAGTAAGTTGTGACTTTTCTTTCTTTTTTCTTTTGGGTGCAGTGGGAGGAGGCTTCAAAACTTCCATTTAGTTATGAATTCCCACTATTCGGACTTGGTGGTCTACTTGTTTTTAATTTATGCTTAGAATAATGTTCTAAATGTGTCTGCTGCAGAGGTGCAAGATGGTACTCAATGGAAATGGCTGGTGTGGTTACATATACTGGTGCTAAAATCATTCAGAATGCTCGCTTGCTTGTTGAAAAAATTGGGAAACCACTTGAATTAGACACAGATGGTATCTGGTGTGCGCTTCCTGGGTCTTTTCCAGAGAACTTTACTTTTAAAACTAAGTAAGCTTTATTCATGATCCATTTGCTTATGTGCACTGAAGTTAAGACTTGTGACTGAATTCTGAATTTTTTTTTCATTGTATTTAAAGATGACAATGAAATATGATTCTAGATTTATATTTGGAGAGAATATGTGCTTCTTTTTCACAATTAAAGATGTTGGTCATCATCTGCATAATATGTTTGTCAGAGACTCGAAGAAGAAGCTGACAATCTCTTATCCATGTGTTATGCTTAATGTTGATGTGGCAAGAAATAACACAAATGATCAATACCAGGTTTGCAATGAACTTTGTTCTATATCTATTTTCAAAATATTTTCTTCCAAATGCATTTGGTTCATTTTCTTATGGCAGTTTTGGTGTTTTGAAAGAGTGTTATTTTTCTGTTAAACTTCCTAAGTAATATTTTTTGACAGACACTTGTAGATCCTGTCAATAAAACATATGCAGCTCATAGTGAGTGCTCAATTGAATTTGAAGTGGATGGTCCATACAAGGTAATACTGAAAACTAAGCTTTCATTGAATGTTAAATATTGCATTCTTTTTCTGAGTGCTCATATTGGTTATTTGATGTAGGCGATGATTCTACCTGCTTCTAAGGAAGAAGGAATTTTAATTAAGAAAAGATATGCTGTTTTTAATGATGATGGAACACTTGCGGAACTTAAAGGTTTTGAGATAAAGCGTAGAGGTGAGCTGAAACTTATAAAAGTTTTCCAGGTACCCACTCTCTTCAATATACCCTGTTACAATATGTATCTTTGAGATGGTTTTTGCCAATATCATAAAAGCTATTGCTTCAACTATTGGGATTATTATTTTCAGAAATTTAGTTCTTGCATTTCATCATGTTATAATTATTTACTAGTGCAGTGCATGGCATATGTGTTTGTGCATATTGTCAAAGACAATTCTATGTAATTTCAGTAATAAACTTAAGATAAAAGAAAACTTTCAGTTCTTTGTATTTGAATGTTTTAGGTATTAGAAAACCCAATAAAAGCTGTTTTCCATTGGCTTTTTTAGCTTCTGTACATTCCTGTCTTCCAAATTGACATTTGCTATACATGAAATACCCTCTTTTGCAGGCTGAGATTTTTGATAAGTTCCTTAATGGGTCCACCTTAGAGGAATGTTACTCAGCTGTTGCTGCTGTTGCAAATTGCTGGCTTGATCTTCTTGATGTATGAATAAAATTTTATTGGGTGAATTTTTTAAACCCCAAAATTTTGTTCTCTCACCATTTTTGTACCCAATTAATCAAGTAAAGTTTTTTTAATTAAATATGGGTCAAACAAAGTGTTTTAGTTAAAATATTCTTTTCTTTCCATTTTGTCCCAGAATAAAGGAAAGGATATTGCGGATAGTGAGTTATTGGATTACATATCGGAATCTAGCACAATGAGCAAGTCTTTAGCAGATTATGGTGAACAGAAGTCATGTGCAGTGACCACAGCAAGGCGTCTTGCTGATTTTCTCGGTGATACCATGGTTAAAGATAAAGGACTGCGTTGCCAGTATATAGTGGCATGTGAACCAAGAGTAAGTTCTATTATTTAGTAAATGATGAATATTTTCATTTGTGTATTTAATCTCAGATAATTTTGTAAAATTACCAATGTCGAAAGTTCAAGCATAAGATCATGGTGAATGTGGAAGTGGAGAAACAATCAGAGTTAGTTTACAGTGTTGAAAGAAACAAAGGAATATAGTTAACAACCACATTTGATTGTGAACTCGTAGAAGAGTCATTACTGAGATACCTTTTTATTTCTTGATGCTGCCCTAGCATGAGAGCTCTGTTGCATGCCATCCAAAAGTTTCAAACTGCCTCATGCTAACTAAGCAGCCAAGAACCTTGTATTTGAAATTATCACTAGCTGCTTTACAATGAGAAACCAACCATAAACCAATATTAATTGCAGTTTCTACGCTTACCTATACTGCATAATTGTTAAAATACTCACCATTATCTTCTATTCTAGAAAGATTGCTGCAATTCATTTCAGAAGCCATATTAACCCAAATGCTCAACTTATTCAGTTGACTTTCATAAAAGAATTTGTGTACATGCACAACTAGTTTCTTATGATGTAGTAGGTATAGCTTTTTCTTCTGATGTTACTTTTAGGTCTTAAACTATCTTGTATATAGTCAACACCTTGTTACTTTTAGGTCTTAAACTATCTTGTATATAGTCAACACCTTGCACTTGGCATTTAAAACTTCTTTTCCCTTGAATGTTCTGTTCTGAAGATTTCTTAATTGTAATGTGAGCAGGGTACACCTGTTAGTGAACGTGCTATTCCTGTTGCAATATTTGAAACTGATACCGGTTAGTTATGTTATTTTAAGCTTCAATTGTTTTTCTTTTTTTAGTATACTATGTTATAACTAACTGCTTCTAGTTTACAGAAATAATGAAGTTCTATCTACGCAAATGGTGCAAAACTTCTTCAGATGTTGGCATACGCTCTATTGTTGACTGGTCGTATTACAAGCAACGGCTTAGTTCAGCAATTCAGAAAATTATCACTATACCTGCAGCGATGCAAAAGGTTACATTGTTTGTTTGGTGTCACTTTCTAAAATAATCTCTCCTTTTATAGCCTGCTAAAAATGAGCTGGAATTTTTTTAGGTTACAAATCCTGTCCCTAGGGTAGCTCATCCTGATTGGCTGCATAAAAAGGTTCGGGAGAAGGAGGATAAATTTCGTCAAAGAAAGTTAGTTGATATCTTTAGCTTATCAGTCAGAGATGATATAGTGAAAAAGAAAAGTGATGCTGTTATCACCACTGATGTGGTTGGAGATCTAGAAGACTTCCAAAACAAAAGGGGAAATTCTGAGAAAGGACCTATACCAATTGTTCGTTGTTATGAAGTCAATAATGATCAAGGTCGGGTCAAGGCAGCTGTCCAAACCAATACCGTGCAACATCAAACTGATCATGGAGGAAATGCACAACAGTTGCCATCGGCATTGCTTCCAAATGTACTATCCACTGAAAACATTGACAGAAATGTTGACTATCAAGGGTGGCTTGAACTGAAGAAGAGAAAATGGAAGGATAATCTGGAAAGGAGGAAGAGGCAAAGGTACTTTTGTTTTTGCTTATGGATATAGGCTATTTTAATTCCATAGAGCTCCCGAGTGCAAATTGATATGCATTGGAGGAAATAGTTCGTAGATACAATGGTTACTTCATACATCTTTTCTCACACTGTGCTTCAATTAAAAGAGACCTAAGATACTAAAACTTGGCTACTGCAAAGTTGGTGCAATAGGGAAGCAGGCATTGTTGCTTCTATCTATAAGGACTGAGTCTATGGTTTAACCAAAACTTTCATTTAGTAACCATTTTCCTCTGATTGTATGTATATTGAGAGGTGTATTATTGTTTTTTTATGTCTTTATTTAAGCAAAATCATAAATCTAGTCGTTGGTTGGATGTTACATATCAAAATCTTATAAAGACTGAGTGCAAATTGGTATGCATTGAAGGAAATGCAATCTTGTTGAATAATTTTCAAGTATGCATCCTATTTTTAGTTGTCTTTGTCTAGGATCATGGGGATTCTAGTGTAACTATTATAAAATTTTTAATGATATAATATATTTTGTAAAAGGTCATTTTCTTTGGCAGGTTGGGTAATCTACGATCTTTTCCTCATGCCAGTTGTACTTCTGAGATTCTGGGTGCCATGGAAAACCATAAAGATGCCCCTGGAAGAACTGGTGTTGGTTCATATTTTAGGAGACATGAAGTATCTCTAACAAATTCCCATTGGCAGGTAGTTTAGTTTTCTTTCATGGGGAAAATGTGACTGGAATGCACTTGATCACTATATCTTCTTTTATGTTTCAGATAATACAGGTAGTTCCAGGTTCACAGAATGGCCAATTTTTTGCTTGGGTTGTTGTTGAAGGAATTATGCTTAAGGTCCCTATAACTGTTCCAAGAGTGTTTTATTTGAACTCTAAAGCAAGTATATCTGAAAATTTTCCTGGAAGACGGGTAAACAAGACTCTTCCTCGTGGAAGGCAGAGCTATAACCTATTTGAGGTAAGTATATTGTTGTTTCCTTCTTTAAAGTTATATCTTCCCTCCCTTTATTTATTTTACATTTAAAAGGTTTTTGAGATTTATTTTTAGTGGTCATTTGTTTGGATTTTAATAGGTTATAATTGATGAAGATCAATTTAGGAGGGAGAGCAAGAAACTCTCTGCTCTTCTTGCTGATCCAGAAATTGAGGTGAGCATAGTTTGGAATTTTTTTTTGTATCTTCGATGAGCTTATTATGTTGGTAGCATTCATTTTGTTAGCAAACTTCAACTTTGTACTGTACTTGAACTTTTCATTTCATGGTTGATGGTCCGTTTTTCATTTTATGCTATCTTAATTTTTTTTTCTTTAACAAATCAATGACTGTTTAAAAGGTTTATCATCTTTTGTATCTAATATAGTTTCATGTTCTTGCTTATCAAAGGTAGTTTAAGGTGTCTGTTTTCTTTGTTAAGCATCACTATTCTTGCTCCACCTTCCAAGAAAATGGACAAGAATTAACAAACACCTGAAAAAATTGGCCAAATCAAAAAGGTTTTCTATCAATAAGTGTAAAATCTATTTTCTTCCATAGGCCCAAGGCTTGTAATGTATTTGCTTCTTTTATAGGTTATAACAATGTTCCTTGGATAATATTGCTCCTGCTCTTGAGCATGCCAATAACTTGTTGGTTATCATACCCTATATGTGCTGGTAAAATTGAAGGGTAATTTGACTGAGAGCATCAGAGTGTATGTTACTATTGAGAGTCTAGTTAGCAATGGATTGCAATACATTATATTATAGAATTTTACTTGCTAGGGTCTGGCACCGTGATTCTGTAAGGAGGCCCTTAAGGTATGTCAGAGATTTTCCATATTAACAAAAAATTATAAAGGAAACTTTTTGTTAGGCAAAAGAGATTTATTAAAACAGTTTTGATAGTTCTCCTTTTCTTTTGTGATACAAAAAGAGCAAAGTTGTTTATCAATTAACTTCAAAGTCTTGATAAAAAAGTGGTGTAGGTTATGACTTGGTTTATCAATTGTTTGAGTTGCATGGAACCAGTAAATAACATTTACAGGAAGCTTTCTACTTTGGAACTTCATCTGGAAGAAGATTGAAAAGTAAATCATAAAACGTTCGCATGTTGTGTTTGTGCACTTGTGACCTTGAAACCTGTTATCATTATGTCATATAGCTGAACCAACAATGAGTTAGCTGTCCCTTGTCCATTGTTGCTTGAATTTTATTAAAATGTTCTGGGCATGTTTTGCAAGGTATTCAGAAAATTGCTTTACGGAAAAATAAAAAGCAAAAGATTTGTAAAGTTTTTGGTGGAGATTAAAACATTGAACTTTAGTTCTTTGGTTGTGGTAAAAACAATTGTTATTTTTACTCTTATAATCTCAGGTATTTTTGTTGGATGCCTAGCTAAATGGTTTAGTTATCTTAATCTCTAGTTGATAAGAATGCAACTCTTTGATCAGGGGATTTATCAAAGGAAGCTGCCACTGGAGTTTAATGCTATTCTCCAACTTGGTTGTGTTTGTAAAGTAGATAAGACAGCTAAGAAACGAAATGCCCAGGATGGTTGGAGTTTGAGTGAATTGCACATGAAGACTACAACAGAATGTGCTTATCTGGAGCAGGCAATCTCTTTCTTTTACTTGTATCATAGGTAATTACGGTACTGTGTTTCTAAGAATGAGGCTTTGTTATAAGCAGCCTAAATGTTGATCTAGTAACTTATACTAATCGTTTAGTACTTTGACTTTGACCATGACATGCCTTGTTAATTTTTCTTAAACTTTTCTGAAAGCATAAAATTCACTATTTTATTTTTTTAAATTTAAATTGTTTTAGATGTTCTGCCACCTGGTGTCAAAATATTAATGCATGCGCAAAGGATGTAAAATTTTACAAGATCATAGACATTATGTCATAAATCTTGATTTCAAACAATTCTTTTTCAGATCACATATTTCCCTTATTATTGCTTTCTGTGGAACATATTTCTTGCTTGTATTAAAGCTACCTGTTGGATTACTTTTAAAGCAGACAAATCTTGGAGTAGTGAAGCTCTCAAAGTGGCATTAAAACCGTTTGTTTCTTTATGCACATGAATGTACTTGTACCTATGTCTGCATTTATGTGGCGGATATGCAGACTTTTACAAGCAATTATCTCTTAAAGATATTTGGCCAACTCAACTAACTTTTTAATTTTAAACTTCTTTTATTCTATAATTTAGGGCAGTCAATAGTTGAACCTTTTAATTAGGAAAAGTCCAAAATCAAATGGTCTCTAGCTTCGTTTTCATTTTGCATGTTGTCTTTTCATGAAAATGAAGAATGGCTAGCCTTACATTGTTGATTTTGGTTTTGCTTCTTACTTTAGTATTTGTGAAGGCCGTGCCATATATGCTACCTATTTTTCTTCATCACGAGCAGTATATCTAGTGGTAGTTAATCCTCACCATGAAAATGAAAGTATTTCCCCTTATATCCTCGAGAAATATTTTCATGAAGCTTGCCAGGCATTGTCTACTGAACTGCCAGCTCGTAATAGGATTTCTTTCAAGGTAAGATTATAGTTTCTGAGTGTAGCTTTTCTGATTTTTCTCCCAGCTATTTTGTCTCTTATCTTTATTTTATCCCTGTATTTACTTATCTCAGGTGAACTATGTTGAATATGTCAAGGATGCTGAAAACATTTTACAAAGAACTATAAGTGAACACAGGTTTTACTTCGTATTAACTATGTTTTACCCATGATTTTTGTAGCAATCATTACACTTTTTATATTTATTTTTTTCTAAGAGACCAGTTCTGATTTCCCTGTCAAAAAAAAAAAAAGTCTTTATGGTAATAGGTACAGATGAAATATCGCTGGGGATATCTGGGAATTTGGTGTCCTGATATAAACTTTTGCGTTCTTTTGTTACATCAAGTTATTGGATGATATTTTAGAATGTTGAGCATTTATTGCAAAATCTCTTGGAATTGAGATTTTACTAGTTAATTAGGAAATCCAGAATCTCCTACTTATGTTCAAGACACAAAACTGCAAGTTAGAAGGTGCAACAACCAAGCTAACTCATTTTCTATGATCCTATAAGTCTTCAATACACTTTTTAACTGCTGAGCTTTTAGGCCATTTGTTAAGAAAAGAAAAAAAACACTGTGATTTAAGTAATTTGAGCCTTTTCCGTGTCTAACCTCTTGTTTTGCTAAGAGGTTATCAGCTTGTGTACAATCGTTCTCCGTTTTTACTTCATTTCCTTTGTTTACTCATGCCTGAATGAATTTTGTTTTTACTACTACGTTGCATGACAGACATGAACATCAAGGACCTAGTGTTGCTGTCATTGAATGCCCAAACACTCAAACAATGAAGTCAGGTATACGAGCTCTAGAAGATTTACCTTGTGTGAGCATACCTTCCAATGCTCGTGATAACGATTATCAGGTAGTGGAGCTCTGGTTCAATAGCTACTTGATGTGCATATGTTGCTTTGCAGTTACTTAGTGACATTGTCTATGTTTAAACTCATATTGTTGCTTAATTTTCATGATTGATACAGCTACTTGTATGGCAACAAACAGCTGCAAAAATGGGAATGCAGCGGTGTGCTGCATCATCTCAGTGGTTGAGTGAGCGGGTCACTCTCTCTAGATACGCACATGTAATACTTTTACCTCCTCATCAACTGTAACTATTATTAAATATTCTTGCTTGTTAATATGGATGTTTACATTTCAAATTTGCTGGGACAGGTACCCTTGGGCAATTTTGAACCTGATTGGCTATTATTTACTGCAGATGTCTTCTTTTCTAGAGCTTTGCGTGATCAGCAGCAGGTTTTTCTATTGAGTGCTCTTGATAGTTTAAATGTTTAAGATTCTCGGAATTTTGTTCCTATTGAACTTTTCTTTTTGGGTTGGGTGATATTAATACTATAGATAAGGCAACTGGTTGATGTCTTAGACAAAGCCTTTTCCATTTCTTAGTTGCATGTCTTTTTCGAATTTGGATGTTTCATAGCAGTTTCTTCATTGCAACTTACCAAATATTGATTTCTTAGGTACTTTGGATATCTGACGATGGTGTTCCTGACCTAGGAGGCTTTGGAGAAGAAGATACATGTTTTGCTGATGAGGTTAGTTCCACTAATGTTTAGACATAGCAGGATCATAACCTTTGCCTTTAGGGTGCAGTAAAGAATTTATGGTAATTTATTTTGTCAATCTCTGGGAATAGATTTAGTTCCTCTTGTAACCAGACAGTGGCTTCTCTTTCGCTATTATTTGAAATTTGTCTGTAATGTAATATTAATACATTTAAATACTCAGTTGTGATTTTTTTTGAGGTTGGAATGCCAATTTCACTCTGTGAACTTACTTGTTGGTTACTTTCAAATAGGTCTGTCAACCTGTTATTACATACCCTGGAGCATATAGAAAAGTTTCTGCGGAGCTAAAGGTTCAGAACATCTATTGTTTGCTTCCTTCTACTTTTCTTTTTCACATATGTTGCAGCGTATGTTTTTATCTATATTAGTAGGGTGTTTAGTCTGGTTGTTAATCAAGTTGATTGTAGATAAGCAAGTGTCTTGTCTGTTTTCAGATTCATAACCTGGCTGTGGATGCTCTTCTAAAAAGCAACCAAGTCAATGAAATGGAAGGAGGAGCTTTATTGGGATTTCACCAAGATATGCATTCTGGAAATGAACAGTGTGGTTTTGATGAAGCTACTGCATCTGCAACTGCATTTCGAGTCATGAAACAACTGATACAGAGGTGCCTTGCTGATGCAGTTTCCTCAGGAAATGTGTTTGCTGATGCAATACTGCAGCATCTATATAGGTGGCTTTGCAGGTAGTTTCTTACCTTCTTTCATCTTCGTTTTGCCATTGTTTGCGATACTTATATTGTCCTTCATTCCATATGACAGTCCTCAGTCAAAGCTTCATGATCCAGCTCTTCACCGCATACTACACAAGGTATGTATCATTTGGATAATTAAGAATCTTGTTCATCAGTAGAATATTTACTGGTGGGAAAATTTGACAAAAATGTAACTCTGGTCTGATAATTTTGTTTTCTGTGTGCTTGATCAAGTGCTTGGTAATTTCCTTCCAAAAGCAATATAGCTTGAGGCAATTTTTGTGATGAATAAGTTCCCTGTTTTTCTTTTACTTATTTGAGTTAGGGCTGTAAGATGAGTTGCAGGGAGCTTGTTACAATATAAAAGCTGCTTTCTTATTTATCATGTATTCAAAACTGCTTTGTCATAGTTGTAATACTTGGAAAATGTGGTAATTCTTCTCGTTTGTGATTTGGTTTTTCATAAATGTCTGCTTTTAATTTTTCTAACATATGCAGGTCATGCAAAAAGTGTTTGCTTTGCTGTTGGCTGAATTCCGCAAATTGGGTGCAACAATTATATTTGCAGACTTCTCTAAGGTTATCATTGACACTGGAAAATGCGATATCTCAGCAGCTAAAGCTTATTGTGATAGCTTGCTGAAAGCTCTGCAGAATAGGTTGGTGTTTGCCAAGAAACTTCTGAGTAGACCTTTCATTTTGTTTTTTTTTTTTTTTCCTTTTAATGTTTTTGGTACATATATTTATATATTTTAAATTTCTATGTGGATTGGTAGAGAGTTATTTGAATGGATTGAGCTTGAGCCAATTCACTTCTGGCATTCCTTGCTTTTTATGGATCAGGTATGGTTTCTTCATATGGTTTAGTAATTTCATTATAGCACACAGGATTGGTGTATTCTATAATAATATATAGAGCTAGACTTCATGCATTATATCTTGAGAATATAGCCCTAGTGAAATTTCAACGTCTTCTAGTCTCAAAATCATTTGTGTGAATTCTCCACTAGATTTTAGTTTTCGTACCAGAATTTTTTACATATTGTCTGATCCCAAAGTGATAGGGGATTGAGTGATGGAGCTATCTAGCATAGCATGGGTATCCTATAACTTGCATTGCTCATTACCATTGTATTTATGATGCATTCGGATGTATCGCTCTACTTTTCAAATTTGATGCCAAGTTCTGCAATAGAAATCTGTCCAATCAAAAATGCTTTCAATTTTGAATCATATTGCATAGATAGTCAAGATAATTTTATGTTTTTTTGTCTACTTGTTCATGTCAATTTATGATAATGCTGCTTTACCTTTGATAGTATAACTATGGGGGAATCCTGGCGGGATCTGATGAAAATTCACAAGATAAGTCAGAAATGGATATTGTTTCAAGCTGGAATATTGCCCAGTATTTACCTGAGAAAATTCAGGTATGCTGGCTTCTGTACCCTTCCCCTCCATCTTAGATAGGTTCAGTGTAGGACTATCATTATTATAAGACTATTGAGTTTCATTCTCTCAGTGTCAACAATATCATACAAACTTCTGTTGCATATTGTACTTCACTTGATTGTCTTCTGGGCTGTTGGCAGGATCATTTTGTTTTAATTGTCTCTGAGTTTTTGCATACCCCCTGGAAATATGCACAAGACCAAGCTGCAAATAGAACATCCTTGCTGGATGGCAGCTTATGCACTCCATCAATCACTATCACAGCTGCTGAGAGTTTTGAAGCACTTATTGTGAAATATCTCAAAGAGCAGGTATGAATTGGGAATATAGTGGTCAAAGTGTTTAATGCCTTGACATCTTGTTGCCTGTAGGTTCTCAATCAGATTAATTTACTTGTTTGCACACTCTACAGATTAGCTCCTACTTCACAGAAAAACTTCTAGGAATTGTTCGTGATATTATTCTTCATATGAAATGGTTGAGTGGATCTGAAAAAAATGATCAACAGAATGCACATAGGGTTCCTCAGCTAGCTAGTAATCTCAACAAAGGAGATGTTGCACTGGAGTTTATTAAGCATGTCTGTGCTGTTCTGGCCCTTGACCATGATGTTCAGCATGATGTTCTGGTAGTAGCTTAACACCCCGCATCATTACACTTCTTGCTAGTTAGCATGCTTCTACAATCTTCAGACGTGAAGTAACTCCATTAATACTGTCATACAATAAGTAATAGTTTCATTCATGTACCCTTATTATACAGGTATTAAGAAAGAATCTGCTGAAATATGCACGTGTTAGGGAGTTTGCTCCAGAAGCTGAGTTTCATGATCCATGTCCTTCTTTCATCTTACCGAATGTGATTTGCAGGTATAGATTGACAAAATATATCTATACATTTGACTGCAGTTATCTGGATGATTGTGCTCACTACACTTTAATAAGACTAATTAATTGCTTTAATTATTAATAGTAATAGTAAGTTTCTTGAGTATGAGGTTTTGGATGGAATGGTGTTGATTCTGTAGTTTCTCAGATAGAACGTTCCTCTTGTCTTATTAATGAGGATCTGCAGTGTCTTTAGTCTTTACCATGAAAGGATGATCTGCACTGGTGTTACCATGAAATTTTGTTAAAACAACGCATCAATCATGCTTGAGAAGCTTATGGTGTCTACTTTGTATTATTTAGATGAGCTCTATATATATACCTGTTACTGATCTTTGACTGAATGTTCTTACGTGCCTCACTTATCATTAATCTCAGAGCGATACTTTTTTCTTTATAATTTCCTTCATTCATTGTGAAAATTTGAAGTCTACCATTGGAATCAGGTTTAGTGAATCTGAAACTCAAAATCTTGTTGCTGATTTCCATTATCTTTTGACAGCTACTGCAACGATTGCAGAGACCTGGATTTATGCCGTGACACGGCTTTACTGGCTGACGAATGGCGCTGTGCTGTGCCCCAATGCGGGCAGCCTTATAATCGTGAGGTGATGGAGAATGCTCTTCTCCAAATTGTACGTCAAAGAGAACGTCTCTACCATCTGCAGGATCTGTTGTGTTGTAGGTGCAGACAGGTGAAAGCTGCACATTTAGCAGAACAATGTGCCTGTGCTGGCTCATATAAATGTAAAGAAGATGTCTCTGAGTTTCGCAGCAAAATGCAGATATTCTTGAACATAGCCATTCGTAAAAAGTTTCCACTCCTCCAGGAGTGTACCTCATGGATCTTGGAAGTCAACTAGCAAATGTATATGTATTGGATTATTACATCTGTTTATTAAAGGTGTATATATATGAAATGTATTATGCATATATCATAAGGCTCAAAGTAACCTCAATTAACAACACTTACGTCTCTCTCAGTACATTGCATCTCATAGTTTTATTTACATACCCATTCGTGCTACGTTTGGTGTATCTTCTTGTTATAAGCTGCTGAGAGATATGCCAATTTTGGTTTTATTTACATACAAGATGCTGCAATTGCACAACAGCAATCACGAAACAAAACATTGGTGAGGTACTTTAAAAGAGTTATAATTTGGATCTTTTATATCCACAGAGCTGGTATCAATACATCAGAAAGGCTGACGGCTCCAACTTCCAAGCAAAAGTTTTATCAATTTTGTAAAAGCAATTTAGCTTCGCATTTTAGTGCTTAAAAATGATGACTAGATACAACCCAGTAAGAAGTGCATAAAGGACAATATTCAGGACAATAAAGATACAGGAGTTCTGCAAAAGACATCATAATATCAAGGCCTTTGTGACTGAAAGATGCCCCTTATTACATCTACGTACTTGGTAGATGTCAAGGGGAAAACAAAAACATAGAACAGCTTCTACAGAACATTACTTGCATTTATATAATTTTATGACCACAGGCACAGTATAACTACAACAAATTTCAAGTCATTAGAATTACCTTCGTCAATCTTCATTACCCAAAGAAAGATCCATCACTTCTGACCAATTACCTCTCCAATGATGTGACTTCTGATTCAAGCTGACCGGCTCTTTCTTTTGCCTGACCTAAAGGCATTGACAACCCCAGTTTTCTCTCACTATCCTGAAGCCGTTGCCTTAGTTCCTTGTCCTGAAACCCAGATTTGCAAACAAATTTGAGAAAGCTAATTTGAATTACTAAGTCATGCATCCAAAATAACCATTAGAAAACTTACCCTCTTTTCAGCACACTGCCAATATAATGCAAGCTCATCTTGACAGAACGGCTCAATAACATTAATCTGCAGACCTACAGCATACACCAACAATAAACTAATGTATGGCTATCCACAAAATACACGAGGAAGAATTTGGTCTATCATTTGGCACAATTAAGAAAATAATCAATCGTGCCACCAAAAAGAATCCACATATAATATCAGCCAATCAATACCATATATATTTCACCTTTTGCATAAGATTGTCAAGTAAAAAAACAACGGACTTACACAAAAATAAATTCCGTAGGATCACATCACACAAATCAACACCTTCAAGCACATGAGATGCAATTTCTTGTGGTGTGACAGTAGATGGTGGCCCCATCATTAGATCATCGCCAACCAATATAGTTTCCTCCACAGTTGGTTGTGAATCAACTGAAACCCCACATCAGGCAACAAGAAATCATGAGTGTTAGTCATTCATAATTTCAAAGGATAACACGTATTTTCGGTAAGTAAAATTCCTACATCTTCGCATAGACATGAATGCAATGTTTATGTTAAATAATTACCAATTATAGGTACATTTTCAACTGCTTCAATGCAATAACAAACATCTATACTAAGATAGCAAAGCCTTCACATACCATCCATGGTTGCTTTTCACCCAGCAAAAAGAAACTTAGCACTCAACTATTGTCCAGAATCGGTAAAAACCTGTGAAATAAACAGATGGGAAGAGAATCAACAGAGTTTCTAAGAATTAATTTTTCAAAGATTTGAAACAACAAAGCGTAGTGCCAGATAGAAGAAAAGACAGCTTTGGATGCGACATTTTATAAAAAATCTGAAGAAAAAATATACCCAGAAGAATGGTTTGGAGAAATGAAATAGTAGAGATCAATGGGATTTTTAGATTTCCACAGAAAAGCAGCTTGCTTGAGAGAGACGCCAAATGGGTTTGGAGTCGAGAAAAGTGAGTCCCAGGGACTTTTTTTTCCCTATCAAACTGTTTGACTTGGCCTTTCAATAATTTGTATAATATGCAACTTTATTTTTAATATAGATATTACTTTAAAATAGAAAAAATTGTAATAATATATTTAATACATAATTATTATATATATATATATATTAAACGCGAATGTAATATCAATATTATATTACAAGGTAGGAAAAAATATATATTCTTTTACCTAAATGATGTCTTCATTTTATGTCATGATTTTCTTGAAATGATGCTTCTCCATGGTCTTGCAGCATCATTCTTGGATGCAATGGAAATATTGTTGACCATCTTCACAAGACCATGAAAATATTATATATTGTTTCAGATCAGTGGCCACCAATGTGATGAGGGAGAAAATACTGATACTTTACCCGTATTAGCCTTGCCTTTCCAATGACCTCAGAAAACTATTAACAAGTGCAGAAATTTCCCAAAGGAAGGATTTACCCGATTTCCTTCCCTCGCATCAAGCCTCCAGTTTCTCTCATTCACCTGCACCTGACCTGCAATGGAACAGGGATACAAGGCACCAAGCCATTGAAACTGCTGAAAACGAAAAAAGAAGCCAACAACTCTCAGCCAAGGACGATTTTACAAAACGAGGCAAGTTCTGACCAACTAGTCTAGAAGGAAAGCAAGTGTGACAACGCTAAGGCTACATTAGCAAAAGCATCAAACCTCCCAAGCAAGTAAAAGTTACTGGGAAGAGGATTCTGAGCTAGATGAAACTCATAATACATCTGAAACTTCACTGCTTCTTATTGTTTGCGCAGTCTTTCATAAAGGCATGGAGTAGCTAGACAAAGGGAAAAGCAGGAATTTATCTTGTTCAATCATCAAAATTCCCCATAAACTTGTGGGAGTCTATGACAATGCGCAACAGCCTTTGTTTGTGTCAACGGGTCCTTACCACCGGAGAAATGAACATTTTACTGGAGTTGGAAGAGCATAAATTAATGGTCCTTTCTGGAGTAATATCTCTCTATAACCAGGGGTTCTGGAATGGAATTAAGGGACTATCTTGAAGTTTTAAGGGCACTGGAAGAGAATGTCACTCAGAAGTAGTCTCATGTCAATGCATGACTTCGTGGAAATGATGCTATTCGCTTTCTAGCTGAAGTCTTACCCCATGTTCTCAAGGCCATGGCTGGTCCCTGTTCTCATTAGGGACCTCCTTAAACTAGAGAACCCACTTCCTTTCTTTGTTCTTGATTCATTGTTTACATGGTCCCAAGGTCATGAACTACCAATGATAGATCCTCTACCTACAATTGCCTTAAAAGTTTTCAATTTTGTTTTTTTCCAAATTAATCATTTCGAATGGCTTAACATGGGGACTACTTGAAAGCCAAGCATTTTATTGATCTGTTCCACTTGAGTCTCCTGCCACCAAGACCTGTTGCTAGTTATTGGATGCAACAAGAATATCGTCAATCACATCGGTCTATACAGTGTGTTACTCAACTTAGGCTATCAGGAATATACTTCAAGCCGAAAAATCTTATAGCTTCCTGGTAATTGATTTCAACTTATCCCATCCATTGCTATCAACGACTTCACCAGCACTGCCCTTATCAACTGTGTTGCCCTGGAACAATGCCTAGAAAATAGCACCAAATACATAACAGATTATGTGTCTTTCATGAATTGCCTCGTCTAACAACCTATAGATGTTGCATTTCTCTGTCTGATGGAATTATCACAAGAATTTCCTAAGATGACATATGATTTCTTCAACAACCTTGGGAGAAAAATCGTCTCAATATTAGGCACTATTATTTCTTCAAGCAGATCAGAGAAGTAGAAGCTTACTAAAGCAGCAACTGGGCAACTATGACGCAAACTTTAGCAGTCCATGGTCATTCATATCACTTTCACCTGGCATCTTCCTCATTGCTTTGACCATGGTGGAAACTATCATGTCTCTTTGGATCCTCCTGCCTCAAGTTTTATGCTAACAAGAACCCAAGACATCTTCAGAACTTTTTTCATTCTGAAAGTATAAATGTGAATTAAAATAGCCTGCAACATCGGCAAAACTAAAAGGTGGGGAAAAAAAAAGGAAAAGAAAAAGATTTACGGATGAAATGGCACCGCATGCATCATCAGAGGTCATAGGACATGGCCATTAAAAAGAAATGAAACCATGCATCAAAGAAATCAGTTTATTATCTAAGGATACAAGTTTTACTGGTATTTTTTTGGCAGCAATGGCAGGATATGATGAAGTTATTGATGAAAAAGATTCCAAAGGAACGTTAATCAGACAAAAATTATGTCACAATGCCAATAGCAAAATATATCCATTTTCGGAAAAACATTCACATTTGATCTTTCAGGACAAGCATTGATAAGGCATTTGCTCCTTATATAGTGTTTATATAAACATAGGACTAAATACATGAACAAGCAGGTGCCAGAATTTTAAACTGTTTACTGTTTTCCATGAGAAGTATAAAAGATTACTAGTAGATTATTTATTCTAGTTTTCTAAATGGTTCCACTTCCCCAAGGAAATGACTAAGATTTGGTGGAAATTTCTACAGGCACACTAAAGTACACTTGATATGCGGCATCCCTAGTTTTGTTGTTTTGCTGCAAGTCTGATAATCCTCCGCTCCATCTGCATTCAATGCAGCCCAGGCAAGTAGAATTAACAACCACCATAAATGAGAAAAGGTGCTACAGTCATGAATCAGTACCAGACAATTATTATTACTGTTATAAATCTCATAAGCAAATGTATCATGTAATAGCCTTGTAATTATGCTGAATGAAGTTCAAATTCAAGACGGTAAGATATTGAGAAGCTAAGTAATAAATTTTCAGAAATGCAAACTCAGCATGATAATTAAGGTTCGCCTCTAATTGTCAATATTTTACAGTTGATCTCTAAGTAGGTATAATATTTGACTAGTCAACATTACTCATTGCAGATGACTAGGTCCAAAACTTAACAACTATTCTAAGAATAAAATCTTCAATGATATCAAGTATTTGAAGGAATAAATAAATACAGGAACCTATGTCCCAAGAAATTTGTTAGCATCAGTAAATTTAAATTTTCAGAAATGCAAACTCAGCATGATAATTAAGGTTCGCCTCTAATTGTCAATATTTTACAGTTGATCTCTAAGTAGGTATAATATTTGACTAGTCAACATTACTCATTGCAGATGACTAGGTCCAAAACTTAACAACTATTCTAAGAATAAAATCTTCAATGATATCAAGTATTTGAAGGAATAAATAAATACAGGAACCTATGTCCCAAGAAATTTGTTAGCATCAGTAAATTTGGTTCGCCCAATTTAATGTCATTAAACATGGACAAACAATAAAGACAAAATAGTAGGAAGAAAAAACAGGTATGCTTCATTACTTATGGTAGATAATTTGCTAGGAGATTAGCACCCTTGGAAAATGATTCTACATGGTTTCTTTAGTATGTTCTTTCACTAATAAGGCTTATAAAGAAAGGTAGGGACCCAAATGATTTTTTTTCCTTGTTCATATTTACAAAGACTGTGCCCATTGTAGACAGAGGGGCCTCAAGAACAGACTGTTTACAAGACAAAGCCACAAAGGCATTACCAAAATGACAGAAGAGATCACAAAATAAACGCAAGGCCTAAAATAATAACCAGCTAGGTTGGTTCTGAATTTAAAACTTTCTGTGCGGTTTATTTTCATTATAATGTCCACACCAATTCATGTAATGTAACTGTCGCATGAATTAAAATTGAGTCTATACCTGGACAAGTACCTGCAACTTGTTACGGGTATGAGTGAATTCATTCTTTGTCCAACTCAAGGCCTGAAGGAAGCTGAAACAAGGATGTTTTTGATGCAAAAAGGGGAAAAGCATCTTATAGAAACACACAACACAAGTTTAAATAGAAAAGAAGATAGCAGAAAGGAGAATAAAAGAAAATCTTTAAAACGTAAGCACATCATACAGGGTAAGGACTGAATGATCTTGGCAGATCAATGGATGTGGGACAAATAAAATATGACATGACAAATGTCTGCTTCAATTAATAAGACTGGCTATGCCATAAAAGTAAAAGCATGGTTACAGCCCAGGATTGATGAATGCATATCAACATTTTCTCACAGGCAGCATATGTAGATAAAAAAAAAATCAATGAGAAAGTGCAGTGCATGCAAGAAAGTTTCATACTTTTGCTTCTGCATCTGATCACAAGCCTGCATTAGATCCATGCATGTGAGTCTCACGTGCTCAGCACCAATACTGTTTAAATACTATTTGTGGGGAAGGGGAGATTATCCAATCAGTAATCGATGCATTATGGTTGGATAAATTAAGACTAAATCACATAAAAAGATCACTACCATAACTTTTCATAAGAAGACAAAGTAAATACTATTTTGGACATAAGTATTTTTCTTAAAAAGCTAAAGCGGCATAAAATGAAGCATCACAATATTCTTATAAGAACAAATGATCAATCTCTTAATCATTTTCCTGTTTCTCTCTCTGTCAACTGGTCTTCCTACTGTGGAGTCTAATGATGTATCCTGTTACATGAGAAACACACGCTAGCTATATGCACTTATTTGTCACCTTTTGAATTTTCTTTTGGCTTATATGGATGCTTATATTTAATTCAACATACTATTTCACCGGAGATATGCTGCATCTTTTGTTCATTTTACACTACTAAGGAAATGATTTAGAAAAAGATGGTAGGTGTAGGGAGTGATTCTACCATTGTGTTAATTGCGCATCTTGTCATACCTGGCACCTTGGCTGCACACCTAACATACATGCCTTGCCCTATAAATACATGCACTCTTTTCTTATTCAAAGAACTCATTATTTAAAGTCCAACATTGATTTTAATATTGTTACATATCATACAATGAAGAATTCATTTAGCACTTTGATTTTTTTAAAGAAAAGCACCATCAGACAAAATTTGCAATCAAAATTCTCCATCCAGTAAACATTCTATAAGACAAGAACTAAATCAGGGTTCCATTGGACTCCTTCATGAAAGTTAAAGTCAACATTACCATGAGCTTCTCTCCCCTAGTTCTGCAGCCAGAACAGCCAACTTAGAAAAATCCACATTAGGGAGATCACTGCAAGTATGTAGCCCCATTAAAATAATCCAAATAAAAGAAAATTAGCTTCTTGAGTTCAAACATTTTAGGGACAAAGATACATGTAGCTTGCAAGTTGTGATAAGATGCTTTCCACTTCGAGGCAGAACATATTGATCAACTGCACAAAATGGTCAGCTCTTCCAACCATTTTCAAATGCTGAATATGAGAAAACTGATCATTTATAATCCCCTGCAAAGAACAACATGAGAACCTTCACAGATGCAATACTAATTTAATGCATAAATGCCACATATACTTGAATAACTACATCTCTGTCTAATAGAAGCTATAATCCACACAGCATAAAAAGAATATAGAAGAAACAATATAGAAGAAACAATTGAAAATTTTTAATATAATGCATACAATTTTAACTATCCATGTTTAGAAATCTGATTCAAGATCAAATGACAACTTAACCAAAAGCCCCTGGCACAGATAGCAAATTAAAACCAAAGGACACCCATGGCACCAAAGATATTACAAAACAGAAAGAAAAAACAAAAGACGAAGAGAAATCAAGATTGAGCTCATAATCTGTCACCTCATTGAACGGTGACTGCACATATTGTTGCAGCAATCCTTTGACAATAGACAAAGCCATTTCTGATACTAATGAATACTATTAAATGAACACAATTGAAATGAAAGAAATCTTTTATCCAAGATGAGAAGAAAAGAACTTTGCATAAGATGCACCCCCTTCAAGTGACTACTTAAAATGCAAAATGTGTTGCAAACAAAAATGATGTGTCAGAACACATGAGTTTAGCACGGTGTTTCACTGATAACACCTACAACATCTAATGACAAATGTCAAGAAAATCTCTTTGTCCTCTTTCAACAAGAGTTTCTGCCACTAAACTACATCTCGTTTGGTTTAGTGAGAAAACACCTGAACTGTCAATCAAAAGGTATTTTGGTAACATTTAAATATGGGGATAGTTTGAGATACTTAGTAATTGGTAAATCAAGAGCCAAGCCTTTTTCGGAGATCATACAACACATTAAAAAAAGAAAACCAAGAATTCCAAACACATCCAGAAAAATATGAATGTTCTAAGTTCTAACTCATAACTGATTATATGCAACTCACTATATAATAAATTAACCAAATGATGATGGTTCTAATTGTGAAGCCACAATAAATATACCAGTAAAACTTTTTGCCAATGGGACTTCCAAAATTTCTCACCCTATAAAGCACTCATAATCTAATCCTGCTTGGCATGATGACAGGCATTGGGGTCCACTTTACAACTTATTGACGCATAAGGTGGTACGGCAGGTCCATACCACATGTTCAAATTGAAGAAATATTTAGACTGTCAACTGGGTCCCATTATTTTAATCTGTAATATAACAGTCCATACACAGTTGTCTTATTTATTGTAGCTGTATTAGACAAATTAGTATCATAGAGATTTGTATTTTAAACATCTCATTGACCAAAAGTAGTTTAACTTCACCCAGGAGCCTATCCACCACTCTTAACTGAACCAATGGAAGCTCATTTTGGTTAATAAAACAACTTAAGCTTGTATATAATTAGTTAATTCCTTGAATGGATTGAAGAATTAATCTCAGCTCAGCTAGAGTTTCAATAAGATTGATGAAGGGACTAACAAAATACTCTGCCTAACCCAGATAACATTGATAAGTCCTAAGACCTGCCCCAGAGGTTGGAATCTACCAGAATGATCCATACATCATCAGCAGAAAATCACAAAGAAATTTTATACTAGCTTCAAGGAACTAGCAACTTGCAAAAACTTAAATAGACATACAAAGTATAAGCATCCATGTGTTTTCAATTTAAGATGTAGACATACATCTCGTACATTTTAAAATTTTATGCACAAAAAATAGTGAAGGTGACACCAGTTTCTATAGAGATGCTAATGTTCACTTTCTTTTTATATCTGAATTTCTTTACAGAGATGTTAATGCCCTTATCTCTGAGACATTAATTTAGTAATTTAAGGCTTTAAGTTATTGCATTTCATATAACTTTAGTATTAAAGATATTTCAAATTTTCATGTAAAATTTACAAATTCAAGTTTCTAATGTTCATTGTTATGGTTTCCTTTGGAAACCTAAAACGATTTTTTAAAAATATTTTGAAGCTAGAAAGCTAAATGCTTTTGGAATAGTAGTGAAATGATTCAATAGTGAAAAATCAGACTTTACATGCAGCAGCAGAAACACAGCTGATCCACGTGCAAAGTAGCTTTGAGATCATAACAGCTATACACATCATATTTGGAATATATTGCACAACTTCAGAAACACTCAGCAAGCTTGACCACTAGTATGAAATTAACAACAGTTAATGTTATGCACAAAACTAGGCGGTAGCAGCAAATTGTTACATTTTCCTTCCTTTCTGATGAAAAGAAACAAAGCCCCCTAGAACAAAAGAAAGCTCTGCCCTACTCAAATGTGCCTACTATGGATTTATCATGAACCTCTCAATACAATATAAAACCCAGGCAGCAACTAATTTGGTTGCAGTAAACCCCTGAATTTAGGATAATCAATTCAGTGATTTTTTTTCGAAATGACTAACAATGCCAGCTCAAAGAGTTCTTAATTGACAAATTCAGTTTGGTAAAATTTTGAAAAGATATGTCCCCTTACATTTTAGTCGTAACAAATAGCTTTTACAACTTAGAAACACTGTTACCGATCAAGAACATCAGAATTCATTGCCCACTTCATTGTCCTGAACTTAAAATTTTAGATAAAGGAGTTTAAACCTAATGGCACTTTGTACAATTTGCAACTTTAAGGAACAAGATTCATCTAGACAAGTCATCAGGGCGATCACTCACATGAAAATAGACAAGAAGTAAAATTCCAATCAAGAAACCTGGCAAGCATTTATCATAAAATCTTTTTTCCAAACCTGAAACTAATGCCGCTGCTCCAACAATATAGATAGGCCTGATTGGGTCTGATACACCAGATCCGGCTCGGTTATTGATAGAGTGAATAGATCTGCCATTTCTTGAAATCTCTCTTCTGATTCAAAATCGTGGTGTAACGTGTATCCCCCCCTGTTCTGGTCATGGAATAGATGAAATAAATCAAAAAATGGATTTTTGTTCAAGAATGAAATCTTATTAGAACTGCCCAGTTCATCCTTCGGAACCATATATTTTGTAAATACGTAATTATCTTGAATATATTAACTATTTCTTTATTTTCCGACCGCCTGGAAGGGACAAAAGAAACATCTTGTTCTTTCTTCAACAGATAACGATTTCCCTGAAATTATTAAAAGACTAAATTGTATCACTAAACTGTAAACATTTTCTTTGAAAGAAGAGTAATTTAACTCATCAAGAACTTTGAACACTATCTATCTGTCACATTTGGGAAAAGATCAAACTAAAAAGAGTAGCAAGTAGCTAACCAATAACATTCTGAGTATTTCACAAATTACAAAGGAATAGCTATTAAGTTCCAAGAAACCCATTAAGAATATCAAACAACAGAGTTAAACAATGAAAAATTCAAAACCCAAATTGCATTAAAACTGCTATAAAAGTATAAGCAAAGAAAATATGTTACCGCATCATGCATGGACTGAATGAACACCGAGGAAGCAGAGGCATTGCCATAATGTTAAGAACTGTTTCTTGCATGAAATGGGTAGATCTTGTTTGTATAAAAAGCAAGGAAATTTCTTTTACTTTCTCATTTGGTGACTTAAACTGGCAGTTGGGAAGAAAAAAGACCATACTATAACGGCCAAAACTGGCTAATGGACAAAAGGGCTCCGGATTATATAATCTTCGTCCGTTTTAACATTTAAGGTATGCATGTTTGAACCCACCAATCTTCATAATACCATCTGCTCTTTTTACTTTCTTTCTTTTAATTTATTTTACAAAAAAAGAAAAAAAGAAAGAAAATGTAACAATTATATGTGGCATGTATTCTTTAGTATTTAGACAACACAAAATGAAATCCCAAGATGAAAGAAAGAAAAGCTATAGCCATTGAAATTGAAATTGTAACCCACAATTTTAATAGAAAAATAGTTTCATTATAAATGCCAACTGTCAAACAGAAAATTAGAAAATAAAATATATTAATAAATACGTTTTAACCTTTTTTATATAAATAAAAAAATAAAATCACAAAATGATTCCACAACAAGACACGTCCTTAACTTGTATAAAATAATATTATCTTATTAGTTAATTATATGATTTGTTGAATTGAAATTTAAGCTGAATTAAATTTTGATGATAAAAAAAAATGTTAAATTGAATCAATGCATTCTTAATGTAACATTGAATTAAAAAATTAAATAATTCAAATTCTAAATCATAGTTGTATTATTTCTTAAAAGAATTAAATATCATAAATTTGATTAAAAAAAGAATTGGACAAAACAGAGCAAGCCTACATATGTCCATGTCCATAAAGAAACTGAAACATAACTATGAATTTAGTTAATTACAGGTGAAAAAAAATACATGTGGCCTAAAATTTCAATCTAATCACCAAAAATGAGAAGAAAAAAAAACGAGATTTAGTTTGCTATAGAACCAGTAAGAATGACGATGGGGCTCTTCACCCTATGAACTGAGTCAGTCCATTCTAAGGATGCTGATAAAACAGTAGAGTTACTCTGCAATGGTGGCCCTTTCACCTTGACTTTAAAAGATTTCTTCTCATTCACTTCACTAAAAACCAATGTGTCCGGAGTAACTTTGATCTTGAGGAACTCTGGTGCCTTCACGACTGCCTTGTACGTAGAATTTCCATCTCCTACATTTGTAACAGTTCTATGGAAAACAGCTGAAATTCTTGACTTAATGTCCTTCTGCAACAAAAGCATGGATGGGTAGTTTACATCATCTTGGCCTCCAAACTTTTGGATGCTTGAGCAATCAGCTTGTTCATCAATCACCATCCGTAGACGTGTTCCCCTGTAGCCTTCATTGCATAGGAATCTGATGTAGTCAATTTTGAACATCTCATATACTAAACCAGGCTTAACAGCTCTTACTGGATCAATTTGACCAGCTCCATAGGCCAACTCAGCAAATTCATCGCCAACTTTCATTTCAGATGCTGAATTTTAAGAACAGTTAGGCAATCAATTATGATTTATTTTTTTGCAAAAATTAGTTCATTGAAGAGAGTTACTTGTTGTCATGAGAGCAGATTTGATTGCACTAGGAGACCATTCAGGATGGAATGACTTGACATAGGCAGCAGCCGCAGTAGCATGAGGGCAAGCCATTGATGTTCCAGATAGGATATTGAACAAACTGAAGCGATTGTCACTTGGAGACTTCGTTATAGAAACAAGTTTCGTGTTAGCTGCCATGATTGAAACTCCAGGTGCAACAATATCCGGCTATAACAACATTAAAATACGAAAAAAAATATATACATGAGAGCTAATTATTACAAACAAAAGAAAAAGACAGATTAATTCACAGAGAGTACCTTTAAAATAGAGGGGGAAATAGGGTTAGGCCCTCTTGATGAAAAGAGGGGCACAAAAGGAGCAGAAACTTTGGTTGCTATTGACTTGAGAATCACAGCCTGAGGGTCTCTGCAATTTTTTTTTTTTTGCAGATTAATCATTTATTATAATATTAAAATTAAAAATAAAAATTACAAAGAACAAAGACAAATTTATGAGGAAAAAGCCTACAAATTCAAAGAGTAATACACATTTCTATTGACCTATGATAAACCAAAATAAATTAACAAAAAAATTAGTACAATAAAAAGAAATATATTAAAACAGAAATGATTAATAATCCAAATGATTTATGTTTTTTTATATTTTTAGAAATTTAAATAATTACTATTGATCCAAATAAACCTACAAGATGGGTAAATAAGTACTTAAGATTGTTGAGCATTCTAATAGTGTCTTTCCTAAAAAATTTGGAGCATGAACCACAATAAAATCAATCCAGATTTGACCCAGGGTAATCCACGAATTACCTTGGACCATTGCTCACCCTAACATTACTTGTTAAAAGTATAACAATGAAGAATATGACCTTGAGAATAAAAAAAAAAAACTTACTTTGTTGAGTTAATATATTCTTGGATGCGTTTTCCGACTTTGGTATTGACACATGCGGCAGAAATTTGAAAGGTACGCGGAGTGTCTAAAGAGATGGGTTCGCAAGCCATGATTGTACCTATTCCTCCCATTTGCTGAATGATATAATCATATAATTCACTATTGCAGTAAACTATTTTTCCCTTGACCTTGTCTTCATCTAAAGATTCACATATCCTGACAATAAAGTTTCACATTTAAGTAGAAACAAATTATGTAACAATACCATTACCAACCGTACCTGATATCAAAAGAAAAGGGGGGGGGGGGGGGAGTTTTTTTCTTACGATTTAGAGTCGTTTGCACTTGCTTTTGCTCCACTGGTGAGAGGGTACATTTTCCTTTTGAGGTTGAAGGTATTCAAAGAAACCCCCTGTTAACGCAAAAATTAAGAACCAGCAAGTTCAGAGACAAGGATCAATACGCTATCAATGTAATAATAAGAGCGTGAGTAATGACATTTTGTCACATATATTGAAAACTTTATGACATTTATTTCTTGCGAATAATCAGACTATCGAACACTTTAGCTTTATATGGCATAATTGCACATTTGTTCCATCATCACAGATGTATGCAGGATGATAATGTTGCAGTTGAACATAACACTTCAGGCCGGATAATGGTATATTGAAATTGAAGTGAATCTTATGATGCAATGTCGTGATGAGAAAGATGGTTACCAAAGTTTCCATGTGCTTGCCAATTGTAACTGGAGTCTGAAACTTTCTGTCCGTAACTAGCACCAACAGTCAAAATCCAAGGAGCACCATTTTGAATGGAATAGAATTCCGGCCCGGAATTTCCCGCGGAACAGCTTGTCAAGATACCTTTCTTCATGGCATGAAATGCACCGATTGCTATCGCGTCTTGGAAGTAATCCCTGGAGTTCCCACCAATGGACAATGACAATAAGTCAACCCCATCATCGATGGCATCATCGAATGCTGCAAGTACGTTAATGTCGGTACAGCCATAGATACAAATCTTGTAGACAGCGATGCGTGCTGAGGGAACCCCTCCTCGAGCAGTGCCTTCAGCTAGGCCATAGAGATTTGCTCCTTGGACAGGAATGCCTGCTATTGTTGATGCAGTGTGCGAGCCGTGGCCGTTTTCATCAGCCGGTGTTGAATTTAATTTTGCACTACGGCTGTCCAGGTAATATGCTCTTGCTCCTATCACCTTGCTGTGACCCAGGGACAGCAAGAAAATTATGGTTAAATTTCGAGATTTTCATAATCGAATCTTGTGAGAGAAACTTAACCAAAAGAAGAATAAAACGAAAACAAAAACTGTAGCGAAAGAAAAGAAGAGCGAACAAAATATAAATAGTGTGATTAGTTGATAACGTAACCAATAAAAAAAAAAGTCCTTTTGATTAGTACTTGTTGCAGCCAGAAAAGTTGGCTCCTAATTGACAGACGCCTTTCCATTTTGATGGAGGAGGACCAAATCCTTTGTCATCAAAACTTGGAGCACCCATATAAATTCCTGGAAAATCCACAAACATTTGTTAATTAATGACATCAACTATATATTACTTCATAACAAGAGATCGAGGAAAGATTGAAACATATTTTTCATCTTTAAATCTCTAAACTACCTGTGTCAAACACACCAACAATTACATCATTCTCTTTTTGGGAATTTCTTTTAACTGATAAAGGCATGCCGAGAAAATCCCATGATCTTGTTGTGTGAAGCTGTCTCACACTGTTTGGGAACACAGAAACCACATTTTCATTCTCTGAAAAGCAATGTAATTAATCATATAGCCAGGAAATCAATAAAAAGGAAAACTCAAATAATGATCTCTCATATATTATTATATATATAATATACTTCTGTTATCCAAAACTGTTACATATATATAAATATATATTAACCTTGTAGCCTTTCAGCTTCATCTGGGGACAAATATGCGGCAAATGCATCGAAACTTTTCCGATAACTATAAATTTTGGACCGTCGAGCAGCTTCCTCACTAATAAAAATACACCAATCAAGTGATTAGTAATTAAAAATTTTGAAGTGGCAAATATACTGACTAATTGGTACTACTACCTACATTTT